CTTTATATGGCCTCGTCCTTCGTCCTTCTTGGATGGCGGTGATGTCTGCCTTTAAGGGACCGGACACTCCAGGTGCATGAGTTCAAATCGTGATTCGTTTGTAGGGGTCGTCAACAGAAAGGGGTATCTCATCCGAGGCGTTGTCAAATTTTTCATTGGAGTTGGTTTCTACGTGGCTGGTCCCAAAATCAGCGCACAACCTCGCTAGGCGTAACAACAACATATTTGTAAAACAAAAACTGTAACACACTGGCACTCCTCTACTGATAAATCTAACCAAGTCTGTCATCTCATCTATAATAAATTACGGCTTAAAAATATATGAATACCACTCTAAGAGTCACATCAAGATACTGGCTGCATAGTACCACTCTGCAGTTCGCCGCCCTTCTTTCAAGGACAGCGTGGAAGACAGCCCATGGAATTTTTATCCAAAACTTACCATCAGTTCCAACAACGTCTTAAAACAGGATTTCTTATCAGCTGTATTTAAAAGCCGTCGCCAAGCTACAGCGATTCTTAAAGCTGTTAAATACTCAAAACTAAATAGAGGAAAATACATAATCTGCTCTGACAGACTTTCATGCTTCATGACGACAAAAACCCCTTTTAATGCAAACTTCATCATAAAAGGAATAAGACACGAATTAATATCCTCCCCTAGCAAATTCTCCCAGTCGCACAGGCATCAGTGGGAACATGGCTGCGGACGCAATCGCTAAGGATATTATGCTCACTCCCCCCATCACCTCTCCATAATTTAAAAGAGGCGTTATCTATCGACAAATCAAACATAAAAGAAACACAGTGTTATCACTCGAATGGGTAAATTGCAATCATTATTACTCAAGGTTTAACCCAAGTCGCTTCAAGCCAAATTTTCCATCAAACATTTCGACCAATTTAATTACTCCATGCATCAGACTTCGCATCGGTCACTGTATCATATCAAATTCACAACTATTGAGCGGTAGCAAAATCAATGTCTCTTCTGTAGTTCCACTGTCAGCATTCATCTCTTGCTCATCGCCTGTCCCGCTATTTTAAACTCAAGAAGAAATCACTTCAACAACGAAGATCCTGTTCAACTATTAAAAATACTATCGACTGAAAACATCTCTTAAATTTATAATTTCTAAATAAATATCTAAATAAACCAGTCAGCCGAAAGCCGATGTTGCTAGTGCTGCGAACCCTAGTTTATATAATGATATTTATTATGAAAGCTTTAATAACTAAATTAAAATTAAATAAAAAATTGTATTTTTCTTTTTATTCTTCACACCAGTTACGCCCGATTTCTAACATTGCGCTTCTGGTGTGATGGACGACTTGTAGAGCTTGGTTTTTGTTCGTTGAGAAAAGACTTTACTTTTCAATTGCCTACTCACTCCAAAGTAACACCTGTTGGTTAGAGTGATTTTCCTTTGGATTTCCAGGCTGACATTGTGGTTGGTATTAAAACTGGTTCTGAGATAAATGATGATGAGATGATTAGGAGTTCTTATTATAAGGAATCAACCTGTCTAAAACTTCGTTTGACATCGAACGGCTCGAAGTGGTTTTTGCCGATCCTTACGTGTGTTACTGTTAGTGTTACTTTTCGTCGGCTTACATAGCCATATAAGTTTTGTGGGGCTACCGAATTCAGACATAGCAACGTAGATACATCTTCTTTCGTTCTGTAGAAGGCTACTATAAAGCAAAAAATGGGTGGTGTGTGTTGATCCTATTTCCATGGGTTTTTGCGAAGATTTGGCGTCAGGTAAATATCTGGTCAATGGCTGATTTACCAGGCGTAGAGCTACATTGTTATCCAGTTTGTTTGTTTGACCGTGAGCTTTAGCTTTTCACACGATATGCTCGAAAGAACCTTATACGCGATATTAAGGAGCCTTATCCCACGGTAATTGGGGCAAAGACTAGGGTCTCCTTTTTTTATGGACTAAGCAGAGCACACTTAAATACCAATCGTCGGGCATGCTTTCGTCCGATCAAGTTCTGCAAAGTAGCTTTTGCATGCATCTTGTCAGCTTTCCACCGCCGAGTTTGAATAGTTCTACCAGTATCCCGTGGTTTTTTTTCGAGCTTGTTGCCATGAATGTAGCCGTTTCCTGTTATTAGGCTAGAAATCAAGCTAGAGGAAGCGTTTACCTACAATTGTGCTTTGCAGAGGCAGTGCGCCTTGGTCTGGATATCGAAGTCAGACCGTAGGGAGAACGAAATTCGATATGAAAGTGGGACACTTGGATGAGTTTGCAGCACAAACAGCATATACACGTATGTATAATCGGCACGATAGTATGGAGATAATCCCAGATATAAGTGGGAGATAAAATGGTGATACCGATATCCTAGGACACAAGTGTTGAAGGTTCTCTCCAACGTGATAACGTGTAAGATTTTTCCGTACCGAGGAGCGAGCAATGCGTAAGGTATATAAAAGAGTACCGAATATGGTAATCAGTCAGTTATAAAGTGAACTTGTTGGTGACAACAGCTGTATCAAATGAAAATAGGAGGATTGGGTATATTAAAGCGAATTTTGGTTTATTATTAAGAAATTGTGAAACAGAATTGGTGGTTTATTAGTCAATTGGTTGAAATAAAGGAATTAGGAAATCACGGACTGGATGTATCGAAAATAGTTACATTTTTTATAAATGCAGTTGAATAACTAATGTAGGTAACGAAGTATCTGGCTTTAGGGGTTTGTATTTTTAAAGCTTTGCGCATAGTGTGGCAGCACTTCAGGGCATTATGTTTATGATCAAGAGTATCTAACTGTCAGTTCTTAAAATCTATTTTCAATTCGTCTGTGCAGATTTATTTCTCATAGTTTATGAGTTGTTAATCAATTATCTTCATTATTTAAATATACATCTATAAACAAACAAAAGTAAGTAAACTAAAGGAGTGGATGTCTTTTGAATATATCCAAAAATTGAATTCAGGATTAGAAGCCTGTATCACATTAAATTAATAAACATACATATACACATATAATTTTAATACAAAATACATTGATACAGTGCGAAGCGTTTATAAATTCATATTGTTAAGTTATAATATTTACAAAACAGTGCAATATTCACTTTAAAATTACAAATTCAAATAAGTTACTTCTTGAAATATATCTAAACTGACTATTTATTAAAAGCAATATGTGATGACGCATGATCTCTAAAAAATCAGGTATTGATTTTTCGGGCAACCCCTTTTTGCGGATAATTTACAATTTGGTATAACAAAACATTAGCAGTAATATATTTTTTGAAAAGAATATTAATTTTTCAAACTGATGCAAAAGAATTTTCGGTTTTGTAGAAGAAAATGCAAAATTCACTAGATTTTAATTAAAATATATATATGGTACACTTGGTATGAGTATCAGTGATATATTATGGTGTTTTTTTTTTTGTTGTTTTGTCTGTTGATGCTATGAACCTCTAGCAATTATTGAAATCTTCAATTGATGATGCTTTCTAAATTTTACATTAAAAAAGGCAGAATTTATTGAGTTTTTATGTTCATTTAAAAATTTTCATGCCATAGGAAATTTTTGTTACTAGCTTTTTTTTTTTTTATTAAAGTGAAGACTTTAGCCTCATTGAGCACTTTTCGGTAAAGGTAATAGTCAATGACATACTCTGCATAACAGGATTGAGTAGGAGTATTCACCTAGTCTTGGAAATGCATGCAGTGGTGCATGGTTCGTGCAATTCCGCAACGGCAAAATGATGCGGGAAAAATTCCGTGGGTGTGCCGCGCTTCAAAAAAAATTTATTTAGTTTTTCAAAGTTTGACCGGAATCGTCCAATTAGCCAATTAACATTTATGGACAAATTTTTGGGCATAGTAGGTATGTATATCTTTAAATCCGTTTATATAAGGTATAGGTCAAAACACCCTGTAATATATTCTAAATGATTTCTAACAATATATCAATATCATGCAATTACTATCCTGGATTATTGATTAAATAAATTCTTCACACATTTTGTCGAAACAAAAAGTGAAAATTTATTAGAACGTACGTACCACATGCAAGGTTTATAGTAAATACGACTAAATCCCTGTTTGGGTATTTTATAGGGAGGTGAAAGGAAAGGGTACAGATTTGACTAAACGTGTATATCCCGGTATCGAGCAATGCGATCAGCTCGATACTCGTTCGTTTCTCAACTGCTCAAATGATAGCTTGAAATATCAATTTAATTTGTCGAAATTTCTTTAGTATTTCAAAGAGTTTTACACTTGAATAAATAAAATTAAAATTATAAAAGAAAATTCTGGAAAAAAGTCAAATTTTTTATTCAAAATGCTCGAATTTCTCGAGCTCAAACTCGAAAATTTTCCAGCAATAAGCAATGAACGAGTGTGCGACTACTCGTTGCTCAAATGCTCGAGCAGCTTGAAAATGCTCACACGAAATCTTTGGCTATATAGTACAGATACCTCGGTGCAGGCAAATCTTTCAAATTTCCTTGCCTTGCTTTTGATATTTTCGTTCCGTTTGACATTTTCTCCATTAATTTTCATTTTGTTTTTCGCATTGGGGGTCAAAAGGAGCCGGTATACAAATAGAATTAGATTTTGGTGGTAAGTTTAATTATGAAAAAATAATATAAATACATTTATATATTTATAAGACCTTTATTTCAATAAAACAAACAAATAGTCCTGTTTCATCGAAATAGTCCATGAATTGAAAAATTGAAGCAAGAAAATCTTATTTTTATGACGAAGCGGGTTCGATGACGTCAACGATTGACGTAACCTCGTATTCTTTAAACCTTGTTATGAACATTTAATTTTACTTGTTTAACAAAATGGAACATACAGAAAAACAGCAGAGGGAGAACATAAAATTATTTTATATCTTTATCTGAAAACAAAAGTTATGCATGTATTGATAAGGTAGCAGTCAATTTGGAGCATCATTAAGCTTATTTAAAATGCGTATTTTCTACGAAGTAGGGAACGTTCTGGCCGTCCGGGAATATTCAGTTCCAGAGGAGAGGTGTATATGGTACGCTAAGTTGGACAAGATTTTTAACTGACAGTGGCAAGGAAGCAACAATCCAGAATGGACAGGAAAAACCGCTTATAGTTCAGGCCAACAAAATCACACAGAGCTGGTATATCATAAACATATTGCTGCAGTTTTTAGTAAGTAAGGTATTATTCAAAGACGAGAGCAAATTCTACATTTTCAATGCAATGGTCATATACGGGTGTGGGGAAACCCAAATACCTAATTCGCTAAAAGTAATGTTATTAATACTACAAAGCTTGGAGCTGGTTATAGTTTAGTGCTACATGGCGCTTCAAGAACTTTGGAAACATATTGAAAGAAAGTTCATTACGTTTCCCATATTCTTGTAATTTGTCTTCAGTCAGTGGACTTAAATCTAGCAGCATTTGTGGGACAAACTTGAACAAAGAGTAGATAAGCAGAGTCAATAGGCGTTGGGAGTTAGAATAGGCGAACATAAAGCGGACGTGAAGAATAATGAGGTGACGACTGCATTAGCTCAACACCTTGGAATCACACAGCTTACTTCAACAATGCGAAAATAATAGACATCGAAAAGAGAACGAAGAAAAGGATGACATTAGAAGGATTTAGAATACAAGAACAAATACGCTGTGCGATGAATTACAAAGAAGACGTAGACAACTCAAATAGCGCATACACACAGACAAATAACCAGACAAAAGCTGATTTGAAGCATTATTGTATATATTGCATTGAAACTGGACGGTCAAGACATGATAACCGCAATAATAAAAATATTTGTTTTAGGTATTGTTGAAAAGAAATGTTTGTAATGTATACTGATTGTTATAAAAGCTTTCTTGTTTTTAAAATAAATTAGACTCCCTGAAGAAGATACGAATGGTATCGAAACGCGTAGGAGGCAGAAAAACTAAATATTTTTGCTTGTAATTTAACGCTAATTTAAATCTCCAAATATATAACCTAGGGCAAAAGTTATTTGTAAGAAATTATGCCATAGGAATGGATAATTATTTGATTTGAAACGACGGTAAATTTCGTATATTCAACGCCGAATTAATTTAAATTATAGGTAAAAAATAAAGACTCAAGACTCGGATTTAATAGCTTTTTTATTTCAATAATAATTCTTACTGTGTCAAGAATTTTGTCCACCGAAATATGTGATGTATATATTTTAAATAATTTTTAATAAAATAGTTAATTACTATCTTTAACTATTTTATTAAAGTTATGATATTCGGTATATTGTTAGGAAAGATTCAGGTGAGCATATGATTAATATACATTCCAATTCTAACTGTTCTCGCGAAAATTCTCCATTGCGGATTTAGAAATCCCTATGAAAAATTTCACCAAATCTAAATGCTCAGGGAGAACGATTTTTTGGGAGTAAGATATTTTCACTTTAGAAATCAGCTGCTTAGTATTATAGTGTATTATTGACATTGGTGAAATAAACAATTAGTGTTGAACACAAAAATCAAATTAGAATTATTGTATTAATACGATGGTACCACATTTGTTGGTTGCTGTAGCAAATGAGGAACAATAGCAACGCATTTTTCCTCAAAGTACATAAATTCTAGTTCAGGGCAAATATTCACGTCGTTTGTCACTGTCTCCTACTCCTGCAATACAAACTTCCTCGGGCCGGTTGTGTTTCCTTCGGCTCTACTAACAACCTCAACTAGACTTTATTTGATGTTTTCGATTTATTAAATACTTAATTTTTTTTTATAAAAACTCCTACATAAATTCTATGCAAAAAAAACTCCCGCGGAATATTGAAATAATCGTTTTTTTTTTGTTTTTGCATTGGTGATGCTAACTTTTTCTTTGGCAATTTTTCCCCATTTTCGAAGTTTGTTTCGAATACAAGGAAAGGGAAAAGCGAGAAAATCCGCAACATTTATTTATTTATGATTGGAGAAGAGGGAAAAGTGAGAAATTTCCCGGGAAATTTTCAATTAGAATAGCGCTGAAATTGTTTTGATCTACCCCTTATATAAACAGAACTACTAAGGGTTAAAAGATATATACTTACTGTCACAACTTTTTTTGTCATAAAAAGTTGATCAAAATGAAAAAAGTTAAAAAAAGGTATGTATATGTATATAATATAATATTGCTTGGCATGTACCATCAAATAGTTATACTTTTTACACTGTTTTATGGAATGAATTTTTTCTGTGTTATTATGTAAATATTAATATCTGACTATGTTATTTTATTTTTAGTGTTATGAAGTACTTCTTGTGTTATTAAACAATTAATTTATTTATTGGAAATAAAATATATAATCAAATATAATATATAAAATTATAGTGTCACAGTGTTAGACACGATGCTCCTCTGAAATGTCTTGAGCGATTTTAATGAAATTTTAGGTGCATATTCAGCAGGTCTGAGAATAACATAACATCTATTCTACGAACTGGGACTGATCTATTCGAAAACACGTTATTTATGGTTCGATTTACTTTAATTCGGTACAAAGGTGTCTTTGCTTAGACTAACAAAAAGACTACAATTATCTTTGGGAAGTGGACCGGGTACTGAAGTATTCAAAAAAACACTTATGTCCGTTGGTTAGGGCTGTTCCACAAAAGTAAGCGACCGATTGACAAGAAATTTCGTCAGATTGTATCTATGATACCTGGGAAAGGTTTAATGAAAAAAAAAATCTCGAAGTGGACCTATTAGAAAAAAGTTTATTTACGGTTTGATTGACTTAAAACTCGGTACATAGGTGACATTTTGCTTAGATTAACAGGAAGACTCCCCTTCTGTCAGGGAAGAGAACTAGGGACGCAGTTATTCAAAAAAAAAAAATGTATCGTCCGATTTATTTGAAATTCGGTACATACAGTCGTGGCCAAAAGTATTAGGAACCCCCTAACAAGTGAAGTAATGAAGTTTTATTAGTAAAACAGTGAAAATACAATGAATTAGTGATAATAACATTAATATTTAGTAGGTCCGCCCTTCGATTTAATAACGGCAGGAATTCTCTTAGGCATGCTGCGTACAAGCTTTGCACATTCGTCCGCACTTACGTGTATAACGTACTACTCGTTAATTAAGGCATCCTTTAAGATAGTTTTTGATGTTATACTGTGTTACCTAATCTTGCGTTTTAAAATAGCGCACATGTGCTTAATGGGATTAAGATCTGCAGACTATGCAGATCAATCTAACAAAACAATGTTGTTATCTCTAAACCAACGCATCGTAGTCGCTGATTTGTGACAAGGAGCCTTGTCTTGCTGAAATCGAACCCCGTCTAAATTAGTATCGCCGAAAATCCTCGTTAACGAAGGCAGAAGAACCGCTTCTAATATATTTATGTACTTTTGACTGTCCGTGCGACCCTCGCAAACAAATATTTCGCCGACACCATCAGCACCCATGCAGCCCCTCATCATAATGATGCCTCTTCCATGCTTAACAGTGGGTACCACGCAATCTGGATGATATTCTTCCCCAACCTGTCGCCTCACGAACGTCACACCAGGTGTTCCAAATATCTGTAGAAAAGAAAAAATAATGTTTTCATAAGATTTGTATTATGTCTTCAAAATTGCTCTAGGGTACGAAGCTATGGCTGTTTATATTTTAAGACGATGTTAACTAAGCTTACCTCGAAACTTGATTCATCAGACCACAAAACATTCGACCAATCTTCTTCCGTGAAATGCTCGTATCGGCGAGCCCATTCCAAACGATTTTTCCTATTCTTTTAAACCTGCTTCCAGAAGTCTTTTAGCTTTTAGAGCACTAATTGGTTTACTAAATTCATCTGAAAGAGCAGCCGAAAGGACAGAAGAAGATTTTTGCGATCCTTGAGAGACTCGCGTATAATTATTCGGCCTTCTCGTTAATTGGTTAGACGCTTTCTTCCACTTTTATTTTTATTTGTGGTTTCGTATCCACAAATCCTCAATGTGCTATCATTGGACTGTGCACCGCGAAAATCCCACCAAATTGGCAATCTCAACCTGAGACTTACCTTCTCCACTTAAAACTTGAATTCTTACTCTAGCATCGTAACTAATTCTACTTTTTTTCGGCATTTCGCTAAATATGAACTGTTTTTATAAGATTGGTGACTTTTCACTAAATGTAATTTACACTTTCACTTTCAAATTTTAAACGCGAAAATATTTTATGAATTTCTTAAAAGTGACAATTTTTGAGGTTTAGCTTACCCAGAGTGCTAAGACTTTTAATATTATACAATTTATTCCTTTACAGGCCTATTCTGTCGAGGTAACAAAATTTACCTAGGTATTAAAATTTACTATTCAGTAAATTTTGTTACCCTTTCGTATTCTGAGTTCACTGTCACCCCGTAAATTTTTTTACCATCGAAATAGGAGGTAACAAAAAAATCTGCTGTTTGATTTTGTGTTGTTAAGTTGAGAAAAAATAAAAACCAAAATGTGTAGGCATGTTTTAGGCCTGGAATTCACTGAAGATGAAGAAAAAAGTGGAAAAAAGCGTATGCTAAGAAGTTGCGAGAAAAAAATTACCCTTTTAATTTGGCAGATGGCGTTATCATTCAGCTTTTCTTTTGTTGTTTAGGCATTTTTTCCCAAATTAGAAGTAAATAAAACTTATTTTTTTTGTTGTGCACCGAAATGGAAGTTTCGATGGGAATATTCTTCGTTTTTACTTTACCAAAGGGAAAATGTAATTTCGCGAGAATTCCAAATTCAATTTCGGGTGTTAAAAAAACGTAACAAAATTTGCTTTACCGGTAACAGTGAGAATAGACCTATTAATCAACAGTTAAACACCCATGTAAGAAGTGGTAACTCTGATAGCCACATTTGAGAATACTTGTATTTTATTGGGGTGCCTAATACTTTTGGGCCAGGCTGTAGGTGGCTCTTCTCTTCCAGAAGCGATAAGGGGACATGCCTATTCAAAAAGTCGGTCTATTCCTCTCTCCGGGAAGTGGACCAATGTCAATGGTAGAACCGAAAAGGTTGTATTCCCACAAGTATTGAGTAAATAAAGTTATGAGAAAAAGATATCCCATGATTCATTTGTCATACATTCAATGAGTATGTGTGACAGCGAAGCAAAGGTGCAGTTAGTATTGTTGATGTTACTATTTCTGTTTCAGCATTCATAAAACTTATCTTTTTTCTGGTGGGGACTCCGCATTGGTATCTGTGCTCAAAATAGTATAGGAGTATTCAGCTATAAAATATTAGGTGTAGTAAAAAATTTTTGCTTAAAGATGAATTGTTTAATTTTTTCTTTTCGGATCCTTATTTAAATGGTTCCAAACGGTTTTTTGTGCATTCTTGAGCTCTTGGGCAATCGAAACAGTGCTTACATGGCGGTCGGACTCGACAATGTCCATGATTTCATCGATATTTTTGACTATTAGCCTTCCACTCCGTGAATCCTCTTTTTCATCAAAATTACAGAAATTACTGTATGATTGACTGTAACAGTATCAGGACTATAAAAGCTATTCACTTATTCAGCCGCCTGGTTTGGGTTTTGTGCCATTTTCGCTTACCAAAGAAAAACTAAAATATAGCGTATTTTCTATTTGTTAATGTCCATCTTTGACGCACGCTCAAAGAAAACTGAATCAACCAATCACAAAACTGTCAGAAAAGCTTTTTTAGTATGAAACCTCATATTTCTAACGCCATCTATTGAGAAAAAAAATTGGGTTTCAATATAAAGAATTGTTTTGAGTTTCTTGTTTTATACCCTGTTCAGACCAGCATCGAATATATGTTTTTGTACCAAAAAGTAGATTTCGCGCGAAAAATTGTGTATTCGCAACAAAAGGGTGATCATTTCAAGGTTCCCTACTTTTTAAGAAAAAAATAAACACAAAAATTTAAATTTAATGAGGAATGCTTATTACAATTCGAAAGAACATTCTTTGGCATTGTTTTTTTTTTAAGATTTTATTTCTATTTTTTTTAAAGCTTACATAAAAAAATTATTATGTAAACTATGATCGCAGCACTAGCAACAACGGCTTTCGGCTGACCGGTTTATTTAAATACGGCGAAGAAGATCGGAATCCTTTAAAAAATTATAAATTTTAGAAATGTAATTATCTTTTGGTGTACTTAGTAAGTAAACCAGGTTGTCATTGTTGAAGTGGTTTCTTCTTGAGCTTTCCAGAGCGGGACAAGCGATAAGTAAAAGATGAATGCTGACGGTGAAATCACGGAAGGGACATCGATTTTGGGGGTTGCCGCTTAATAGGTGTGAGTTGGTTATGATACAGTGACCTATGCGAAGTCTGATGCATGGAGTAATTAAATTGGTCGAAATGTTTGACGGAAAATCTGGCTTGAAGAGACTTGGGCTAATCCTTGAGTAATGATGATTGTAATTTACCCAGTCGAGAGATAATACTGAGTTTCTTTTATGTTTGATTAGTCGGTAGAAATCTTCTCTTGTAAATTATGGAGAGGGTATGGTAGGAGTGAGCATATTTTCCTTAGCGATTACGTCCGCAGTCTTGTTTTCACCGATGTCTGTGTGACTGGGAGTCCACATTAATTTGACTTTGTTGGGGGAGGATATTACAATAATTCGCCTCTTATTCCATTTATGATGAATTTTGCGTTAAAAGGGCTTTTTGTCGTCATGAAGCATGAAAGTCTGTCAGAGAAGATTATGTATTTTCCTCTATTTAGTTTTGAGTATTGAACAGCTTTGAGAATTGCTGAAGCTTCTGCTATGAATATTGAGCAAAATGGAAATAGTAACCCATAGGAAATAGGTTCTTTATCTTCTCTGTCTGCGGCGGAGGAGGTGTAGGAGGCTTTGGATCCATCTGTGAATAGGAGCTTCCAGCCGGCTGAATTTAAGGGGTAGTTACGGGTAGCGTGTTTTGTATACACAACTAGGCGCTTCAAGACGATGTTAGGACTGATGAAAAGTTTGGGCTTTAATCCACATTCTGATAAAATGTTTCTTAATGGAGATGTAGGGAACGCGCGAATAGAGCGTCGAACAGCCAAGTGGTAAAGTGCAACAAGCATTATGATGTGATTCTTAAAAGGGTGACCAAATATAAAAAATCGAGGGAAAGTATTGTAACATGATTCTTGTGGGATAATGCATCAGACACGACATGAATGAGAGGCAAAAAAGCATCTAATGTCCTTTGCCCCTTTTTGTATGCAAAATGGTTTGGGTGAATAAATTTTTTGGTGTTGGGCATATCAGGAGAGTTTGCCAGGTTTTAAGATGCTTGCTAAAGAATGCGTTATGGTAAAAAAATTGGGTGTGGAAAATATTCGGTTCGGTACTTCATACCGCAGTAAGGTCACCGTTACCTTCCGAAGCGTCTCGGTGTCGAGTTGTTACGTCTGGGGTTTTACCCTCTTAACTGCAAATCAACCTGGGCACGGTTCTAGTAAAACTCTGGCTAGTAAGGGACCAGATGAAAAGATGACAAATAAGGTTTTCACTTCGTCTATAAACTTAAATCCTGTTAGTAGAGCTGATAACCAAACAGTCAAGCACCGACACCAAGGTTTCTACCTTCGTGGAGGTCACATAAGAAAAACAAATTAAAACCAATGTTACGCATAGTCTTATGACCTATACTCACATTCGTGTATATGATAACGGTTTCTGTTTATTTCGAAAACCTCTAAGTAAAATATGTTATAAGTGGCAAGATCAAACAGTTGTGAGAAAACACGTAAAATGTGTTTCAGCTTGAAACCATAATTTGAAGGTAGTTTCATTCTCTTCTCAGTCGACTACAAAGTTAACTAACTTTCCTTATTGGACGTTATTGTTTTAATATTTTTTTGTTTTTGAGAAAACAAATGGTAATTCAAATTAATGACACTTGATAGATAAAGCCAAATTTAACGAATAATAAAACAGTTTCCTTTTCATTTCCGGGACTTTGCAGCCAATGTGTTTGTTATTCAACAACTTTTTCTGATATATAATATCTGATATATAATGTTATTATTGTATAAAATGAGTAAAATAATCGATAAAATAGGGCCGAACGAACTTAAAATAAGAAAGCAGTAAAAATATATGGTTCTAGAAAATGGTTACAATCGACGAAGTTGTGTTTCGAGATTCCCTTAATTATGAAACTTCGTTGAATCCTGCAAAAAACTAATAGATACTTATAGATTTGTGCGCACAACTAAGCTATGGAAAATTGCATGTGTAACTCGATCTTCATCTGTCGTCATTCAACGAAGTTTTTACATATTTAATTTACCTTTTTTTATTTGATTACATATATATTATATTTACTCTGGCTGGGTTTGGGACCCGCCACGTAGAAACCGTATATTATATATATTGGGTATTAATTTTAGCCTTCAATCTTTTTTATGTATTTATAATTTTATACTTTGTTCTGATGAATTGATTTTCAGAGAACCTCTTTCGAAGGAACTACAACTTGTATTGAATATTACATATAGTAACAACGTCTGCTCTGACGAAGAACATGAAAATGGTTTTGTCGCAGAGGCAACGCGAGGAGCTGTAAGATATTATATTGTCATTCTGGTATATATGTATATACATTTTTTAAAAATTTTCCTTTTTCAGAAACCAAGCGATTGCCGATTACTTAGGTAGTAGTGGCTATTCCGAGACTTTGGATGTATTCCGTAAGGAAGCTGATGTATCAACCGAAAATGAAAAGAAATTCAATGGACTTTTGGAAAAAAAATGGACTTCTGTTATTCGTTTACAAAAAAAAGTTATGGAGCTAGAAGCCAAGTTATCAGAAGCCGAAAAAGAGGTTATTGAGGGCGCTCCAACAAAAGCTAAGCGAAGTCCAGGTGAATGGATTCCACGCCCTCCTGAAAAATTTTCATTGACTGGTCATCGCGCAAGTATAACGCGGGTAAGAAATTTTGAATGTCTTTCCATGTGTAATATTGTTTACTGTTTGTCATCTTCTAAAACCTATACGTAATATATTTATTGGATTTGCTTCGACCTCGGAAGCCTAACAATAAGTAATAAAATCTTAAATTTTCATTACACATGTACCATGGTGTGGTCGTACTGGCATTTTATGCGCCACTTTGCCATGATAGGATACTCGTCTGTTATGTATCCATGTACTTTTGTGTCAATCTCAGAATTGGCAAGCTTTCTTTATTTAATTTGTTATAGGAATTACTTGCTCTATTGTGTCATGTTTTTCACGAAGACCAAATTGATGTGTAGGAATTATATCATTTTCATGGAGAAAAGGTGCAACAAACTGATTGGTCTATATGATTACGGTTGCGTCTTTACCTGGTTTAGTTATCATAATTATGTGTGACTTTCTTCAGAATTAATACGACTGAACTGAACTGAAAAGCATTTCTAGGAAAAAGAGAGCAATGCTTTGTAGTTCTTTCAGCATCTCCGTGCACTCATAGGTTTTTTTTGGGTTTGTATAACGTAGTTCAAAAAGCCAGATAATTATGGTTGCCGGTAATGAGAAAACGAGTCGCCCTTAGCAACAAGTTTACCGCCAGTAATATCGCCATCGCATCTATTTCTTATTACCAGTCATTTTAAAATGTTTTCTTATTACCTGAATTAGTCGTTTTATTGTTGCCTGAACGAGACATACTTGGACTTCTCCTTCGGTCTATAAAAAATTTAAAAATATATTTCAACATACTATATGTATTTAAGGTATCAAGCAACGTATAAGTATTAATATAAAATTACCATTACGTTTTCACATTTTTGACGTTTTTAAAGATTAAAAAAAAAAAAATTGAAATATTCTTTATTTATAATTTGCGTGATATTTATATGATCACTTTTTCCACTGCTTATTGTGAATATCAGGGAAAAAATTTGTCGTTTATGATGCACTACCGGAAACAAATATTACTGATTTATTATCCAGGCAACAAATTGGCAACAATTCAGTATACGAATGAGACCAAGAAGCAAATGTTATCGCTTTATCACTACGGCAATAAATTGGCGAGTTGCCATTTGCTGCCTATATCGCATGCTTTGTATGATGGGTTATAACTATTTTAAGTTTTTGTTTTGTTTTACGTGTTTGTATATGTTAGTCCCTTTTTCGCTTCTTAAAGTTATTCACGTAAGTGTCAATATGAATCCCTCAAAGTAATTCAAACGCATAATTCGGATCTAAGCTTATTAACAGTAAAGTTACACGTTTAAGAATAGCTTGTAACCCGCAGAATAATAACATTGCAAACATACCTACGCACGACTTATGCTTACATCCAAATCATATTATTTTTTGTCAATCTGTCAGTGATCCTTTCCCCGGTTCGTGGTCTATTTCCGGGAAACAGTATTCGATTTAGGCATTTCTTCTATACATATTTTTTTTTCAAAGAGCTCGGTCCACTACCTGGAAAAAATTTTCGAGTAAATCGAACCTTTACATTCTTGCCCTCTTACTGGAGTAAACAAGAGTCTCCTGTTTATCTACGGAACTTTAGCTACAATAACAATAGGTCCTTATCGCTTTTTTTTTACAAACCTTCCCTAAGAAGTTAAACGAACAATAAATAAAATATTTTTGAATAGGTAGGTCCCCGGCCCAATTCCCACTTTATGATAAACTAAGCGTAAAGCTGCCTATGTTTCAAATTTCATAAGAATCCAACAATATTTTTGACTTTTTCGAATGGGTCGGTTTCTGGTCCACGTTCCGGATGTTTCAAACCGTTAAAATATCCAAAATATTTCAAGATAAGATCATAATTAGACAGCAATTCTCGAGTATTCGTATACATAAATATTGGCGATTCATTTTTATTTATATGATTCCTATAGATAATTGACTCTTTACAACAGCTGAAGCATTCTTCCCTTGAGCTTCCCCTCTAACTTGTGGGAAGTGCCTTGGTTATTTAGCGCTGAATAATTGCTCATTTTCGCATCTGTCTCTTGAAATTTGAATATTTTTCGTTTCGGTTACATCCAAACGAAATATAATTTTGGTATGAAATTTACTGTTCTTCCGCCAGCCGTGTCTCCAGAGGCATCCCAATAGATGTACCCAGCTATTATGATTGTTAAGTAAGTCCGCCTTTTGTTCATTAAAGTTTATTTCGTACATAGCCACTAAAAAATGCGACAACTCGTTGATGTTAAATGGCTGCTCCCATCGCAATTTGTGACTTGGAATGTCGTTTTGCTGTAACACTTTATTATAATATATTTATAATGTCCCAACATTTCCGAGCGTTTCATTGAGATTGTTTTTTTTTTTTTTTTTTTTTTTTTTTTTTTTTTTTTTTTTTTTTTTTGGTTAAAGCTTTCTTATTATATTATATTATTGTATATAAAATACAGTACGTAGCGCCAGCAACATAGACATTAGGTTTGTTTAAATAAGGCGAAGAAGATCGGATTCATTCAGAAAATTTTAAATTTGGAAATTTTTTCAATCTCCTCTTAGACTCCTCTTCGACATGTGTGTATCACCTTTTGTACAGTATGGTGAGGTGGTAGTATTTCCTTAGTAATTGAGTCCGGAATATGGTTTCCAGAAATGTCCGTTTGATTGTGAGTACATTTTAAATAGAGTTTTAGACTTAAGTTTGTGTTGTTAGGGTGGTTTATCGATAGGAAATAGGACGGACTGTCAGTACAAATTATGTATATTCCTTTATTTAGTTTTGTGAATCGAACGACATTTAGGATTGCTGTGGCTTCCCCTGCGAATATTGAAAAAAAAAAAACGGAGATAGCAGCCCGTAGGAAATGTTCTTTATCTCGAAGCTTCCAGCCGGCTGATTTCAGTTTTTCCCTGATAAAAAGACCTATTTCAAGCCGAAGTTGGGATGGATGATGAGTTTAGAATAAAGTTTACAAAGGAGTCTCTCACGCCTTATTGTGGATGTCGGAAATCCCAGAATACCGGCAGACCGAATGGGGAAATCGGCCCTAATTTCCAATTGCCCAAACTGCCAAACACCAACGCCCCGCTTGATTTCTCAAGGAAAATGTACAGAAGTTTTTCGGTAAAACGAAAGCCTCCAAATGCATCGGCCCCTATATTTCACCTTTCTCTAGCAGCGTCCTTTACACACCTTATGAGCCCAGCAGGACATCGGCATGCAAAGTGCACAGTACCACAGTGCGGTACTTACGCCATAAACACCTTGATAGTCAACCAAAACCGACCTTGTGCGTGAACTACACTGGTAGCACTGGATTTTTCAAAAGAATTTGGCATCGTCAACTATTCTGTTCTACTACGGGACATTGAGAATTACTCATTACCGCCGGGGTTAAAGAGATGGACTGTGGACTATCTGAGTAGTGGACTTTCCACTCCGTAAGATGAAACAGGAAGGTCCTCAGAGTAGTGCCGCTCCCTCGACCCTACTTTTGTTTAGCTAACACTGATAACTCATGTTTGAAAGTATGCTGCTATCTCGCGGACCTTTCTCACTGCTTCACTACACAACATTTACAACAACAACCAGCGAAGTCTTCGGCTACTCTTTTCACAAGCTGGACGAGCTCGTAGCAATTTGCCAAACCTGACTTTGTTGTCAAATTTTATTAACCAACAAGTACATCTTTCAAGCACTTAGCGGAACAGCTATTCTTATTTGAAATAAACTAAATCATTACTTCCTAGAATCTTATAAATGGTTTTATGTGCAAGCCATTCTGCCGTAAAAATTGCGTGATGAACTTCTCTATAACACAGCGACCGAATTATAATTTTTACTATTTATGTTTGAAGTGATTATCGTTATCGAAAGTTCAGTAAGTTAATAGTCAAATCCACGACTCAGGTTTATAGGCTCTCACTCCTACATTTTCGGAGTAGGAACGTAGCTTAGCTCCATGACGGCGTTGTTGTTGTTGTTGTAAACGCAAAAATATTCCCCAAAATGGGAAAATATTCCCCAAAGTACTTTTTGGGGAATGTTGCGATAGTGGCAGTCCTTGGCCCGTATAAAAATCCGGGTCTTTCCTGTATAAAGACCCGACTGTCGCGAGAACAATTGGATTTTAGTCGCCTCTTACGAGTTTAATTTTAAGTATGCAGGTAATCAAACAAATAAGATTAGTGGTTTAGATATACATAGAACTCCTCATTATAGGGTATTCGGCATATCGATTGAGAGAAAAATTAATAAAAGCATACCACAATTTTACAAAGCGGAAAACAAAAGAGTGTACCTATCGCAATGTGGAAAATATTATTAGACATTTCAACTCGCGTTTTAGACGAGTAAGACAATGTTCTGTATACTTCAAACCCAAAATAACATATTTCATTTTAGAAAAAAGTCAGAACGAAAGAACGGCGATACAGCGAACTATGAATAGTGAGCGGTAAAGTAGTGTGAAAATAAAGCCGCTTCACTTACAAATACTATACAAGGAGAGGGTCAGTTTGGCCCAGGGATATATTTTGAAAGCGGGACCAAAGGTCCCCAATTTTCAAAGATATTAAGTTACATCCCATTAAATAAATATTTAATATGTATGCATATTACGGTTTATAATTGTACCAGAAGGAGAACAGAAAAACCCATCATACATATTACGGTTTATAAGTGTACTTACACGTAAGTACCAGAAGGATAACAGTAAAACCCATCAAACTTTCTACCAAGCGAGTCAGAATGAAGAGTTAAGTTGATTTAGCCATTTCCGTCTGTTTGTAGGCAAACTAGTTTCTCAATTTTTGAGATATATTAAGCAAACTTGGTTGCGCTAGTAGATTTCACCGATCATTTTCGTATTCCATACACGTACACATGTACAGATAAACATTGGAAATGACTATCACCAAAATCTGAGAGTTTGTAAGCTTCCATGCAAACGATTTTTTCAGATAAGAGCATGAAATTTTGTATTATGCACACGTAGTATGTATATACAAATAAACACTGAAACAGCAGGCTTCTTATGTATTCTACACAATCTTCTTGCTTTTATTAAACCACAACCTTCATCAAAAGGAACACGGTATCTCAAATTAACTGTAAACTATTGTTGTTCTAACAAAAATGCGATTTTAAAATAAATACTGTTTGAAAGGCAAAGATTTTTTAGCTCCATATTTTAGGTTTGTTTATATGTTTCAATTTTATATATATTTCCTCCAATTTGTGGTTTTGCGTTTTTATGTTTTACCAACAAATGGAGGGACCTCAGTTTATACTAAGCCGCCTCCGAACGGCTGATGGTTTTTTTATGAGGAACTTTATTTCATGTCAGAAATACACTCGGAGGAGTTGACATTCCCTGCCGAGGGGCGACCGCAATTAGAAAATTTAGCTTAAAAACTATCAACCACTCGGAGGCGGCTTACGATTGTAGGACAAATTTTAAGACGCACACCAGAAATTGGACAAGACAAGACAAGACCCTGAAAAAAATACAAACTGTGAAGTTTCTCGTTAAGAAAAACGAAGAAAAGTTAGTTTTAATCATTTTATTACTCACATTATGCAAAAGTATCTAAATTTCAATTTCCTGTTCCATAAAGAATGAGTAATTTGATCTACAACAGTGATGATCGAAAAACGAAAAATTGTATAACTGGATGTACCATATTTTAATTTTCCGTTAATAAAAAAGTTCGAGTCTCTCAATTATACTTAACTACAAAAGTTACAGCTAAATTTCGTTTATTTAGGTGGCATTTCACCCAATTTTCGGTTTAATGGTGTCATCATCCGAAGATGCTACTATAAAAGTTTGGGATTTTGAAACTGGAGAATATGAACGCAGTTTGAAAGGACATACTGATTCAGTGCAGGATGTTGCATTCGATGCTCAAGGAAAGTTTTTAGGTGAATATTGATAATTTATTTTTTCATAACTATTTCATAATGTATTCACATTTTAGTATCATGCAGTGCTGATTTATCCATTAAATTGTGGGACTTTCAACAAAGTTATGAGTGTGTTAAAACAATGCATGGTCATGACCATAATGTTTCATCTGTTGCCTTTGTACCTGCTGGAGATTACGTTATTTCCGCATCGCGAGACAAAACTATAAAAATGTGGGAAGTGGCTACAGGGTAAGAAATACCATAATATTACTATATTTATATACAAAAAAGTAAATTCGGATCCTAAGCCCTACTTCTATTTTAAAAAATTCCAACTTTTTGATGTTTCGTTTTTGACTTTAATATAAATGTGGTTTGCTTGCATTTATTTCGTTAATTATTTGGTGCCATTTCCTACCCGTTCTTCTTTTATTTTAAGGTGTTCTAACACTTGTGGCTGAAGTGGGAAATATGTGCCGTATTATTAAGTACAATATATATAAAATATGTAAGTGCCGAAAAGTGCCAAGCCTATAAAGAAACCATGTTTAAAATTTGGTTTCATTCTCCAGCGATTTTTAAAGAGCCATACTGCCACGCCCTATTTTCGTAACATCTTTTGTCACAAAAATGAAATGGTTTTGGCAATCAAACTTCCAATTATAGAGTTATTTTAAGCTATACACAACCAACAATTTCCACATAATATACCTGTCATAGCCGATCTCAATTTACCCAGCTCAAACACTGGTCAAATGACCTACGCTAGCGTTTTAAAAACAAGTGGGCAGACCATGCCTGTCATCCCAACCAATTCTGGTTACACAATTAATGTCAAAATTGCAAAATATGGTCCAATGAAGAGTCAGTTAAAGGTCAGCATTCATTCTTTTCATTTTACGACATAAAGAACTAACTGCCTAAAATATAAAAAATACATAGTCACATACAGATAGATGGAGAACTATCTATCAAAAATGTTCTATCGTATTTGTTTCCTCATGCTTCTATTAAGAAAGGTGGAAAGTAAAGCTGGCATAGCCTTAAGCCTTTGACTGCGTAATGGGCGTTTGGCCCAAAGCAGAAAGCGCCTTGTTTTGCAGAGCACTTCACTTTACAATCACTGTAGCGATTTCCGACCGAGCTCTTCCTCCAATTTGTGGTCTTGATGATTTCCTACAAATGGAGGGACCTACAGTTTATTCTGAGCCCCCTCCGAACGGCTGATGGTATTTGTTAAGCCGTCGTTCCAAATAAAGGTGATGGCTGATTTGAAAATATTTTCAGTCGATTTGTTTCTAAAATAAAATCAGTTCACTAATAGCAAATATAATATAATATGTATGTATTATGAAAATACTAACAGCAGTGAGACCTTCTCCTTTGATTGACGACGCTTAACAAACGAATTATTTACAACGGCTCATATTAATATGTATAAGCAGCAAAATGAAGAACACACCAGCGGTAAATTAAAAAAAAAATCACATGTGGTTAAAACATAAGTATTCATTTCGATAGAGATAATAAAATTTGTGAAGTGCTATAACCGCCGATATTAAGCTATAAAAAGGCAGTCGATGAAATCTCCCGTGGATCGCTCCGACTCACCAAATTTAACATCTAAGATGCCGAGTTTAGAAGCAGCACGCGGTTTAATTCCGCTGGAGGTTAAGATATCCACTCGGCTGATTTCACCGTTCCGTCCGAGATAAAGATGCTCCACCTTTCCACGACACCATTCTCTACGTGGTACATTTTTGTCACATATATAAACAAGATCACCCTTCGTTATTGGCATCTTTCTTTCGCACCACTTAACTTGCCGAGTCAACGTAGACAGTTGTTCAGATAACCACTGCTTCCAGAAGTGATCCATCAGCTGTTCACTGATCCGCCATTGCTGACGAAAGACGCAGGGGCTCTCTATTACGTCGTGCTGTGTTAGGTGGTCCCAATAGGAAGTCATTGGGTGTTAGTTGCTGCTCTTCGTTAATGGAAACCGGCTAATGGGTTAGTGGAGACGAAATTATAATGTTCTTCACTGATTGCACCAGTCTTTTTTTCTCACGCATCTCTTTCATTTGGACCAAGCGGCGCGTTGAATATTCAGTCTACACCTTCCGTAAAACGCTTAGACTCGTTATCTGTGCACGCATCTGTACGTAGATCGTGATCCAGTTCTAGGTGCACAGCACGAACGGTGAGGCACCCATCTCTTCTCGGTACTCCGCCGAACGGTACCAGTGAGCGGCCCGTAGTAATCCAGACGTGTATAACTGAAAGGCCTAAAGGGTGACGATTTATTTGAATACGACGAAACAGATCGGATTCCTTTAGAAAATTATAAATTTTAGAAATGTTTTCATCTGCTGGTATACTTTCTAATTGAACCGGATCTTCATTGTGGAAGTGGTTTGTTATTGAGTTTTCCAGAGTGGTGCAAGCGATAAGTGAATGCTGATGGTGAAGTCACAGAAAGGATATTGATTTTGGCGGCTGCCGCTCAATTGGTATGAATTGTTATGATACAGTGACCGATGCGAGGTCTGGCTTGAAGAGACTTGATGATTGTCGAGAGATAATAGATTGCAGATTATGTATTTTCCTCTATTTAATTTTGAGTATTGAACAGTTTTGAAAATTGCTGTAGCTTCTGCTGTGAATATTGAGCAAAATGGAAATAGCAATCCATAGGAAATAGGTTCTTTATCTTCTGTCTGCTGCGAAGCAGGTGTAATAGGCTTTGGATCCATTCGTGAATTGGAGCTTCTAGCCGGCTGAATTTAAGGGGTAGTTACGAGTAGCGTGTTTTGTATACACAACTAGGCGTTTCAAGACGATGTTAGGACTGATGAAAAGTTGTTTACATAGCTGTCCTTTAATCCAGATTCTGATAAAATGTTTCTTAGTGGAGATGTCGGGAATGCGCGAATAGCAATTTGAGATGGAGGAAACATTGGAGAAGAGAAGGGCGAATTCTGAGGCTTAGTTTCATTTAACAAAATAAGAAAAGAATATAATTTTTTCATTAGAATTTCAAGATGAGTGCTATTGTATTGGGATTTAATGTTGATATTGCTGGTTGATATGTCCAAAGACTGATCGAAGCAATTTGATGAAGTGGTAACAAAGTAATTGTTTTTTTTTTTTTTTTTTTTTTTTTTTTTTTTTTTTTTTTTTTTTGAATGAGCTGTTGAGTGAGATTTGAGGCAGGCTGTTGGAAGAAGGGTCAGAAGTGGGCAGTGGGCTGCTTGCAGTTGATGCTTTCGCTGTTGGGAGCGTGTTGACGAAGGGGGAGAGAAGAGTTGCAATTTGCTGAAGTTGATTCGATGTTGTTGATTTTATAAATATTTTTCTCGTAAAGGAGACGATTAACTTGTTTGTTTGGAGATGTTATTTGGTGAGGATGCCTAGCAATAATGTCATCGGAGGAAGAGGGTGAAGATTGTTTAGGTAGTTGTGAAAAATAAATTTCTGCAGCTTGATTGATGGTGCATTTTCGTTGCGTTTTGATTTTAAATATTTGTTTTTGTTGTTGAAGAAATCTTGGGCATTTGTTGAAGCTAGAGGCGTGATCAGCATTACAATTAGCACAATTGATGCGAGTGAAATCTGTATTTGGATGGGTGGGAAGGTTACACACTTCAAATGTGGAGTCGTTTCGACAATGCTTGATTGTGTGACCTAGGCGTTGGCTTTCTTTGTATCGCATTGGGTTGGGGAAGTACTCTCATAATCGTCTTTTGCGCCAAGAAATTTTGATGGGTTCAGGCAGACGGTAGAGGCCGAAAGTGAGTAAAACTACTTCGCTAGGAACCATTTCGTTTTTAGTTTTTTTTTTAACGAATTTGTACGCCTTAATGGCACCTTTGGAAGCAAGCTCTTTAGCTATTTCTTCGTCTGATAATACATTTAAGTAAGAGACATAAACCGTTCCCTTCACTCAACTCAAATTTCGGTATTTCTTCAATTGAGACAAATTTGTCTGCAGTTTTCTTATCTTCTGCTAAGAGTAGTAAACAACCACTTTTTAGCTCAGATTTTATTTCAATATCACTGTTTATTACTTGAAGGGATCAGTGCACTGCGAAGCACGAATAATGTGGTAGAGGCTTTTTATCATTTGTTGCTGATATTATCAGATATTTGGGGTTAGATAATGGTGATTGGACGTTTTTTTTTTTTTTTTCTTAAAAAGGGAACTGGTGGCCAGGGGGTGAGCCAATTGCCCCAGAGGTGAAAGCCCCGTGGGGCATTTTCACGCTACACTTGTCTCACTGCACAAAATATATAATAACCACGATAGATCTAAATCTATCGGCAATACAAAATTATTTTACCAAACTACGTAACTACTCGAACCTTGGGCTACGCAACAAGTCAAATCCGCCTGCGGAGAAGAAAGTGATCAGCATTCTAAAGAGCGATGTCAATCGAGCAGCGTATTTCTACTAATGGGCTTTATGTTTTAGTTTAGTTAGGATTTTAGTACTTATTGTCAATAGTAGTGTCACACATGTTTTCTGAAGGTTTCTACTAACTGAAAAAGCAGTGAAAACAATAAACATAGCATAGCGACATAATGTCGCCGTATATCTAAACTAAAACTTTTTGAGAGCTAGTTTGAAATATTTTTGTCAAAGTTTTCTTTTTGATGTTAATTCCTGAATAAAGAAATTACAAATAACTGAATGATATATTTGCATTCAAATAAATATTATAACTTTTATACTATCCAAAACAAAAAAAAAATCGAAATGCGGCTCTAGAAAGCAACTATATGAATTATAATACTAATTTAGAAAATCTGTTTTTTTTTTTGTTTTCAAATCTAAATTATCTTAAGATATTAGCTTCTCCTTTATATTTTCCGTGAATTGCACAGTTACTAGGAAGAACGTTCACAAAAACCTACCCTTTTTAATGTTTGTCTTGTACATATGCTAATATTTTAAAATATATACTAAACTAAAAAACCTAATCTATATTACTCATTAGATATTGCGTGAAAACCTATACTGGACATAGAGAGTGGGTACGTATGGTTCGTGTACACGTTGATGGCAGCATTTTTGCGTCCTGTTCAAATGATCACTGCATTCGTATATGGCTCACAAACACAAAAGATTGCAAGGTATGTGAATATTCAAAATTTATCAGTTTAAACAGTGAAATTTATTGCTTTAAATAAAAACGTTTAGAGTACTATTTATATTTGGCAATCAATATCAGTTTTCAACAACTGAAGGTACCAGAACTTCATTAGTGTCTTAAAAAACCAAACGACACATTTTATTATCAGTTGTCTAGAATTTCAGCCGGGAGAAATATTTTTATTGTTACGGCGTCCATAAGACAGTAATACTGACCTTCCCATAGAAATGTAAGAACGCAATAAACCAAATTCGCATGTGACATTAGTCAACTTGTTCTCGTCGACAGAATGATCTTTATTATAATGAGGTACTGACTGACGAGTTTCAAGTTTTCTTAAAGTATAACCTGCAATAGGTTAACAGTGCATTATAAAATTCGGAAAGCCGGTATCGAGTTCTGGTCTCACCAAAACTAGGGCGATTCAAAACGATTTCTGTAGTACTACTGGCTTTGCGCTGGCAACGCACTCTTAAACTGAACGAAATTAGTGATGTCAACCCTTCCACTCCGTGAAGCATCTTTTACATCAACCGCAATGGAAATTGTTCATGGATTGACTGTAACAGTATCAGGGCCATGCGTTTTCGCCCTTTTTGAAGAAAAACTAAAATATAGCGTATTTTTTCTTTGCTAGTGTCCATCTTTGACGCACGCTCAAATAAAACTGATTCAACCGATCACAAAATTGTCAGAAAAGCTTTTCTTTACCACGAAATGCCATTTTTCTAACGCCATCTAGCGGAACACGATCGGACTTATATAACGCGAGATACGCATATATAACGCCATATATTGGAAAATAATGAATTTCTTTTTAACACACCTAATATATTATATATCGGGTGATCCCAGAGTAGAGGTACTTTTTTCAGTAGCCTATTTTTGACAGATGACGCGTGCGTCGTGGCAAGCTCTCATATTATTTTTATTCTGTATTGTTTGGCATTTCATCATGGAAAGCCTGAACAGCGTTTACAAACCGTTCAACTTTATTACGAAATAGTCTCCGCACGACACTAACCACCTCTTCACATGCCCCCTCAAACCCAGTCATCTAACGCCCCTCTCTCTTTGGTCCAACCTCGTCGAAACAGCTCGTTTCGTGGACCTACCACTAGATGACCTCGGCGACTTAGACTGATCAAACCTGTGCCTAAGCGGGGTTAGTGAACCACTACAACAACAACAACACAACCAGCTATCCTTGAACAACCTGATCATCATATTTCTTTGTATCATCACAGATGATTATGTAGATATTTAACATTTTAAATAGTTTATATAAGAACAAAAATAGTTGTCAAAAATGTAAATGGTGGGTCATATTCATAGTCGAGTTAGCGCCGACTTTTTCACTTAGAGCGGCTATAAAGTCATTTAGTCACCAAAGCTCTGTTGCTAACTTTGTGAAAGTTAATTAAATTTAAATTCGCATCGTTTTTATTGCGATTTGGTTAAAATAAATTGTAAATATGTCTTCGCGGAAAGCAGAGCAGTCCTCCAAGCAAAAAGCCACCTTTGGACCGAATTTTAAAACTTTCCAGGAACCATAGAAGCTATATGACAAAATTTTATGTCATGTGGGCGGAAAAGACTGCTTGGCTGAATTTTTAAAGCGCTTTCCAATTCGATTATTTTAGTTTAAAACGCTAAGTCAGCAGACTTCAAAAATTCGCTTTCAATGTTGGACTTGTTTTTGTGAAATATTATATAGCTGTTTGAAAGGAATAATTTTATTTTTTGTAACTAGCGAATGTAATAGTATTAGTAAAAAGTATCACCGTAAAGTGGTGTTTATGATTGCAATTGTATTTTTTTTTTTTGCTAAGTTTATTTTTATGCCATCTCACATAATTTAAATTATCTCAAGGTTGAACTTCGTGATCACGATCACACTGTCGAGTGTATTGCTTGGGCGCCAGAACTATCTACCGCTGCTATTAACGAAGGCACTGGGGCAGACAACAAAAAAGGACATCATCAAGGACCATTTCTGGCATCTGGATCTCGTGACAAAACCATTCGGGTATGTATTTGAAAGAAATTTGATTACTCATTTTTTATGTAATAAATAGATATCGCGATTCAAAAAATCAGCCGCCTAATAAACATCCAAGTCCTTGAAAATTATTCTATAATAATAATATTCATTAATGAAGCATTCATATTCAAAATTTTTATGAAGTTTTCCTTATCGGAGATGTTGGTAATCTTATGTATTGTTTCATCTTAACAAATTAGACATTTACATTATTTACATATATCGCATGACATTAATTAATTTAAAACAAATCCCAATGACTTTGGTCCATTACATTTTTTTCTGTATTGGGTAATTTTATTAACCAAAAGGTTCATCTCTTGTGAACTTTTAACTGAATGGAAAGCTCCCTATGCATTTTCATTTACTTTTATTCACTTTGTGTGTATAATTTCAAATTACGGATGAAAATTATGTTGAAAGTGCTAATTCATTTAATGCAAGATCTCTACGTACAGAGTGGTGTGCCGCAGGGGTGTACGTTGCGATCGACCACTACACATGCGGGGTGTGAAGCGAGAAGAATGTGTAGACTAAAAACCAAGACGCCGAATTGCATGAGGCCAACGCATAATGCTGTTGGCGTGCGCCGATGATATCGACATTATTAGCCTTAACAACCGCGCCATGAGTTCTGCTTTCTCCAGACTGGATAAGGAAGACTGGAATAAGAGCAAGTCGAAATATCTCCTGTCATTAAACAATCAGTCATCACATTGGCGACTCGGCTCCCACTCATAACTTCGAGGTCATAGATAATTTTATTAATAGGCTCTTGAAACGTATAGTCCTCTTTCGGCAAACGAAAATCAATTTCTACAAGTCGCTCATCATACCCGCTCTACTATATGGCGCAAAAGCGTATTGTTGCGAAAATGCGAGGCGAATGTCAGATGAAAGAGAGAAGCCGATAACTAGTACGTTCTAGAAACGATAAAACAAGAACCTTCCATAGCGAACAATTCGATGCTTCTACGCTTTCGTCTGCGAGCAGCCGACTGCTATATAAAGGCGACACTCAGCTGCAAGTCAAGCAGTGACAAAGCAAATTGGTTGGCGTTAACATCAGTGAAGACGTAAAGTGAACGCGTTGGGAATTACATTTAAGTAGAGGAAATTGTGAAAGTTGATGTTAGTGATTATAAATAGTAAAGTGCAGTATAATTGAATTGTGAATTACTGAGAAAATAAAGGACATTAGATAGAATCTTTATAACGAAAGAAATTAAGTTGGCGAGTTTTTATTTAACAATCCAGAGATCGTACCCGAAGGATCTAGAAAATAATCGAGGTTGATTCAGTAAAATCGTAACAGTATGTTTAGTCCATTGTATACATAAGGAATAACAGGAACTTTTAACACTTTAATTCCTAACGATGAACCACAGATTTGTCTTTCTGAAAATTTTTGTTTTTAACCATTGTTAAATGTACTATAGAAATAGCATCCTATTGTATTTAGTAGATAATTAGTTGCTTAATACTGATTTAATTAGTCGATAAATTTGATTTTTTCAGGTTTGGGACGTTGGAGCTGGTATATGTTTATTTACTCTAAACGGTCATGATAATTGGGTCAGAGGCTTATCATTTCATCCTGGTGGTAAATATCTAATATCCTCAAGTGATGACAAAACAATTAGAGTTTGGGATTTGCGCAACAAAAGATGTATGAAAACTTTGTATGCACATCAGCATTTCTGCACATCAGTTGGTAAGATTTAAATTAAATAATTTATTAATTGTTTGTTATATAAAATTATTTAATTATTTGATGTATTGGAATGTCTTAAAAGTATTTCGCAGGACGTTATCTTCAATATTTTTTTTGTTTCGTAAATTATGTAAATTGTAATTGTCTGGCCATGCATTATCAAAAACGGCCAATTTGAGCACAATTAGCATTAGCTTCTAAGTAACTACCCAAAACCAATTGACAATCTGTGAATGTCCTACCAATAATATTCTTAAAAGACTCGCATAGGCTGCGACTCAGTCCTATCATACCGCGCTGGAAAAGTTATTTATGTTAACGTAGCCAAAAGAGATACAAATATGATTATTTGTGGACTGGACAAATTAGAAGAAAATTGGTAAAATCGCTGTTACCTTACTGCGGCTGATCATGGATGATTCAAGTCATGTAAGCCACCCGAAAACTTAAACTAAGTAGCATTCTCTGGGTATCGGTTTCTTCCATTCATTTGAAACTCGTTATATATACTAATGGTCTTCATTTAAACATGCAAATGGCAGATAAATGTGATAATCTTGATATAATTATTTTCTGATAAATAAATTTGAAATTTTTTTATGGAAAATCGGTTATCAGGCTTGAGCTGTTGTGGAAAATACGAGGGGATTTAACAAAAGTTTGGTAAGCTAACCAGGAAAATAAGAAAAAGATACTTTTTGTATTTATTTGTAATCTTTGTCCTTTTTATCTTCTCTACATAATCGCCATTGATTTCAATGCATTTGTTATGCAAAATCTTGCTTTTTAAGCATATCAAGTTGCTATTAAAAATTTTAAACTTTTTTTTTAATTTTTGGAAATAACCAGAAATCACCAGGAGTTTGTGGTGCTGGACGTGTTTCTTAGATTCCAGAGATCGCAATAAATTTACTCGTTATTTCAGCAGTGTGGGATAGTGCGTTGTCACGATGTAAAAAGTAGTGCCACGATCCCCTTTCTTCCTATTTTCATACAAATTTTTGGAGATTTCGGAGTACCATTTTGCAGTTGCCGTCTAACCCTTTTCCAGTGGAATGAAAGCTACGCTGCTCATTTTTATTGCTTAGATTTTGCAGCAAAATGCACACGAGCCTCTTTGTGGTCCTCATTTGAAATTCGTTATACCCTTCGAGCAGATTTCTCCGTGTATCCCAGATGATTACTTAATATTCGCGATACAGCCATGGCATTTAAGCCCAGTTCGCTAGCAATCATTTCTTGTGTCAATCGTGGGTCTTTGTCAATTTTAGACTTCACCTGCTCCGGTAAGTCGACGCATCTTTTCGTAGAATTTTCGAGCGTTACCCTTGTCGGTCAGCTTCTCAAGCTCTTCATACTTACGCATCTCGGCCTCTTTCTTTTTTGATTTGCAAATGCGTCTAGCTTTCCTCTTCATCTCCGATATCTATCCCATCCCGCACGTGTTGTGGTCGATCCCAAGGCTGAGGGGTAGGCAGTCTGTTTTCTCTCCACTGCGATACGGCAGTCCTCATTATACCAGCTGTTTTTTGCGACCTTTACGAAATCCAATAGTTTGCAGCTGTACGTAGGGAGCTTGAAATGCCGTCCCACAGGTATCGTATACCGAGTTGCTGATGAGTGCTCTCAGAGAGCAGGAGTGCAAGTCGAGTAGAAAATCGTCCGGCAGTCTGTTGTGATTGCAGCTTTCCATCGTCGAACCCGACCCCGGCGAAGTCGATCAGCCTCAACTCATTAAAGGATGTGAAGGCTGAATTGTCCAACAGGTGTACCAAAGATACCTTCTTTGCCCACTCTGGCATTAAACTCACCAAGCACAATTTTCACGTCGTGTCGGGGGTAGCGCTCGTAAGTGTGCTCTAGGTGCTCGTAAAAGAGATCTTTGGCCAAATCGTCCTTCTTTTCCGTCGGGGCGTGGGCGCAAAACAGCGATATGTTAAAAAATTTGGCTTTGATGCGGATTGTGGCGAGACGCTCATCCACCGTGGTGAATGCCAGTATTCGACGACGGAGTCTCTCCCACCACAAATCCAACAGCAAATTTGCGCTAATTTATATGACCGCTGTAGTAAATGTCACAAGATCTTACTCGCTTTCGTCCTTGCCCCGTCCATCGCACTTCTTGGATAGCGGTGATGTCAGCCTTTATTCTTACGAGGACATCAACCAGCTGGGCAGCGGCACCTTCCCAATTAAGAGACCGGAAATTCCAGGTGAATGCCCTCATGCTTCAAGACCGACGACCGCTCGCAGCCGCACTTCTGGTGAACAGACACTGCAATTAGACTTGAGGCTTCACACGGGTTGGTTACTGCATCTTGCGCAAGGGTTGCTCGCGTTTCCAATGTGCGCGTCGTGAACGAAAGAGTAGGAATTGAGTATAGCCGCGCAACTGTAACAGCATACCCAGAAGCTTGACTAACCCCATTACACCCTCACCATAATTCACTAAATTTTCTGGAAATTTATGCAAATTATTGCGGAGATGATGTAACTGATACTCACGTTTCTCCTAGAGTCTGTAGTAAGATTTTGTTCCGGTTCACCAGCAGCTCTCTTTTTACATTGGCTTTACTGACAGTAAAAGTTATTCTTCCATCTTGTTCCCAACAAAAGTTTCGCGTATCCACTTTGTTGAGTAAGTAAAAAAAATTTCTTATCTCTAATTTCAAAGATCTACAAGTATTTTAAAATTCCATAAGCTTCTTTGAGTTTTGTTGAATGGCAATTAGAATTGATGCAAATGTATCTTCATTTGGAAGTAATGTTAAGACAATGTTGACAATGTTTTGATAAAATTACTGATATTGAATTGTTTTTAGTTTTGGCGGATAAGTAAGTCGGTTCTTGGCGATAAGAATAAAAAAATATAAAAATCGTATCAAATTTTCTCCAACATTCATCATTTGAAATATCACCATACATACATAAATATAATACAATTTTTAATTTTCAGATTTTCACAAAACACATCCATTTGTTATTTCGGGAAGTGTGGACCAGACAGTGAAGGTTTGGGAGTGCCGTTAATTTTTTGCTGGCATGTTAAAGTATCTACAGAATAACCCTTGAACTTCAGAAGCAAAACTTATATGAACTACAATATCCATACATATGTAATTCAATAAAATATAAAATATTTATTTAGTAATGATAATAGTATAACGAAAATGATAATCTTATTAAAATATTATTTATTTTAAAGCAATCACTAGAGCAACTGATGAAAAATAGAAAAAGCAAGTACATTAATGTAATATTTTAATAAATCAAGTAACGAAGCTTAAAGTTGGTAAATATGAATACATGCATACATATATACAGCTTATAAATATTTTGATCGCTATTTATTCGGGCCTATGATTTTTGGCTAGCCTATTATGTATAAAAGCGATACTTATACTTTGGTACTAAAATAATAATAAATCATGGTTTAGGTTAGCAACCAACGCAATTTTTTTTATCTAATTTAAACAAATACTCCCAACTTAGTAGCTATTACTGTTATTAATAAACATAAGAATGTGCTCGAAATAATAAAAACAACCAGACTGATGACAGAGAATGATACCTAAAATTTTTCCAGTAGTTTTTTATTTTAACTATGTTTCGGCAAATTATTAGATGCGCTTTAATGTTTCTAGAATGAAAAATACAAAAACTTATCCAATTACTCCAAGTTATGTTAACAAGTCATTCATTGGGTTGATACTCAATGCCCTGCTCGAAGTAATAAGAACAAAATGTGTAATAATTATTAAATAAACTTTTGTTGTAGTTCAGTGAAGAAATTAGTCCATCTGCCTAATATAAGCTTCCTCCTCTACGATTCTTGCTTACTCTGCGGCACATCTGGACGCCATAACAAGTATTAGAGTCCGTATCTGGAGGGGATTACATTTTCCCAGTTATTTCTTTCATTAGTGGTACCTTTCTTTTCTCGAAAGGTCTTAAGCTAACCTTTGACTTGTCAGAAATTTATAAAATAACGTTTTTAACAGGCCTTGTGATGAGCATATCTTGACAGGTATATTTTTTGTGGCTTCTGCTTTTGGTGACTTCAAAAATTGCTCAAAATTATAGCATACAACAAAAAATAGGTCGAAAAATTAAATATCTTGCGGAAGCTGAGCTCTAATGACTATAGTTTCAGATACTCCCGAGTGAAGATCAATTTGTTTGCTGCCGGCCACAAAATTTGCAGTGCATTGAGTAAATGTTTTTCATTTAATTTTTCAAAAACTCAAAGTGTAGCTAAATAGTTGTCAAAACAAAGATGAAATAAAATACTAATGAAACAAGGTTTAGATAACATTCTCTACCATCAGTCTGGTTGTTCTTATCATTTCAATTGTTGGTACAAATCAATGTTGAACATCTTAGAAATATGTCCAACAGATGTCTCGAATGACCAAGAAGGAATGAAAAACTAGCAGTCTTAACAAATTTTGAGTTATGGACGACTTGTCTATGTTATGCAATGGTAAATGTTATAAGCTCTTTAAGGTTATAAGTGCCTCTTTGTTCAGTTTCATATATATATTTTTTTGTATTTTTTTAACATTATTATTATTTTATAAATTTAAATTTAAAATAAATCATAGTGAAGAGAGATAAAAGAATGTGACGTTCAAAATTGGTCGGTGGATGCTGGCGTATATTTTAGGCACTAGAAAAAAAAGTGCAAAGTCGGCAACTTTGTTATCTTTACGTTCGTACTCTTCCTCTTTAGCGGCGTAGTCACCGCTTACACGAATATAGATGAATTAACAACATTGCGCAATTTCTTCTTTTCACTTTTTGGTCTCAATTGGACATACCGATTGCGGCCAGATCTTTCCTCTACCTCCATCAGCGGGTACTGCATCGTCTCTTTATTCGCATGTATATATTTTTTTTTTTTTTGTTCAAATAAAATTGTAGAAATTAATTTTTTGTAACATGGAAGGCAGTGACAGATCATTTTACTGTTACATAAAAATCGGTAAGTAAAATTAAAAACAAAATTTAGCTATTGAAAAATGCAGCGGCTCTCACGAGCAGTTTCGAAATACACAGCTAAATTTACTCACATATTATTATAAATCTCCCAAAAATCTAAGTATCAGCTGTACAATTAAAATACAATTCAGTTCTCCAAAATGTTCTTAGGAAGAATTATACCAGGAAATTTTTGTTAAAAAGATGCTTATATCGATATTTTTTCTTTTGCTATGCTTCCAATTCGGTCAAAGATAATATAATACGTATTGTAACGGTGCTGTTTTGCAACCGTATAATTACAAGGTAACCCATGCATTTCAGTTGCTTTTTAAGGAAATGGTACATCGTCAAAGTCAAAGTCATCCCCTTCAAAGTAGTCCCCTTGGGCAGCTATACAACGATTCCAGTGCGTTTTCTATGCTTCGTAACGTTTCTGACGAGAACCCTCGTCACGGTCGCCTAAATGTCCTCAACCGACTTAAAATGGATTCCTTTGACCACCGGGAACAAAAAAAGTCACAGGGAAGCGAGAGAATAAAGCGGTTGTTGCAACACGGAGATCCCTTTAGAGGCCAAATGCTGTGACACGCTGAGGACGGTGTGGCACGGCGCGTTGTCATGATGAAAGTTTTCGCAATCTTTCGAGTACTTGGCGATAGTAGACTTAATTTACTGTTTGCGCCGGTGGAAGAAATTCTTTGTGGACGATTCCACGAACACACGTTTACGGCAGCAGGCGAACTAAACAAGATGTAGCGATGGCAAATATATCAATGGAGAAGAGAAGGATGCCGGGAAAAGGGAAAGGGAATTTCAAGGTCTCATGGTTACCACAATCGCAGCAATATAATCAGTCTCATTACTTAATGGTCACATTATAACTAGTTATAACTAGTTATAACAAAAATATGCGAATTAGCTTTTCTGGCGAGAAAAGAAGTACCCAAGCCCACAAGAGGTTTAAATTCTTTCATAAAATATTAGGTTGAGTGTTCAATGCTCAACCGCTAAGCGATTTTTGGCTTCCTCCAATTAGTGGTTTTGCGTCATTATGTTAAAAACAGTTTATACTAAACCGCCTCCGAACGACTGATGGTTTTTTTGTGAGGAGCTTTATTTCATGTCAGAACTGCACTCGGAGGGGTTGACATTTCTTGCCGAGGGGTGACCATAATTAGAAAATTTAACTTAAATAGTTACGAAAAATATTTAATAACACACACAAATACTACCTAGATAGTAAACATTGACATTTCTTGCGAGCTTTAACTTTCTTATTAAAAAAAAAACTTTATGTAGTTATGTGACAACAATAGTGGATTAAAAAATATCTATTAAATTAAGGACTAGCAAGTCGGATAGAATTTTCATTAATTTCATTAGTATTGGATTTTAGGAGTGTGCAAAAAGTAAATTTAATGATTAATTACAAGGGCAGAAATTATAGTCAAAGTTTTTATTCAATTATTCCCAACTATAGTTTCACCGTATCATATTATCTTTGACCATATCAAAATGAGTTACCATCGACCACGATTTATTTTACCCTTACGGGTAAGTATTTGTCTCTTCATTAAAAGTCTAAAAGTCTCGTTTCAACTACACCGTTCCCAATGACTTATGATATTTATACTTCCGTATAATCTTCTTAGTTTTTCCGTCAGAATTATGAACGTTTCGCATCACAATAAAATCACTATTACTATGCCAAAGGAAGAAACCTTTCCATTTTTAATGGCTCTGACGTAAGTTCCCAAGGTTTCGTATCCCTCCCGAACGGAACTTTTCATCAAAGTATTCTGAAAATGCGTCTCTGAGCTGGCTCCGCTGTTCAACTTGAGCATGCTTGACCTGTTCGTAGTTGTACTTTGTACAGAATTATTGATAGCATACTCCACTTGGAATAAACGACTAGACGAATCTGCATGGTCTATCGAGCTCTTTAATTTTCTTAGCGTTTAAGACTCGATTAACTCATTAAACTGTAGAGACGCAACAGCAACCTTGGTACTTGTAATACTTCGACTTAACACGAACTTGCCAAACTCCATTGTAGGAATCAACTTTAACATTTATAACTTGCTACCTTAAGTTTCTCAGATTTTATGTTACTGAATTTTAAGTTTGAAATATTTTCATTTTCTAAATTATTATAGTTTTTATTTTATAAAATAAATTTTATTCAAAAAATAAATTATTAAAGTTTTAATACAATAAATGTAAAAAGCTTTGTTCTACTTATTTTTTCTCGTTGGCACTGCTTACGCAATTATAGCCGAATTAATTATAGCGCGTCATTCATCCCTTTTTTGCGCTGTTTGGCGCCACACGGAGATACCAAATGATACCAGGTCACTCTCCATCTGATCCTTCCGACGGAGTGGAGGTCTTCCTTTTCCTCTGCTTCCACCGGCGGGTACTGCATCGAATACTTTCCAAGTTAGAGTAATATCATCCATTCGGACGACACGGCCTAGCCAGCGCAGCCGCATGCGCCAGTAGTTGTACATTCTTATAGAAGATTGTATCTTTTCTATTCAGCTCTGCAGCTCTCATTATTCTCTCCAGCATCAAATTGAAGAAATCACACGACAAATAATCACCCTGTCTGAAACCTCTTTTGGTACCGAACGGCTCGGAGAGGTCCTTCCGAATACTGACTGCGCTTCTGGTGTTGTCTAGCGTCAAACATAGCGGCATAGTGGCAGCTCCAATCAAACTGTCGAAGGCGGCTTTGAAATCGACGAAGAGGTGGTGGGTGTCGATCCTCTTTTCACGGGTATTTTCCAAGATTTGTGGCATGGTGAATATCTGGTTAATGGTTGACTTACCAAGTCTGAAGCCACACTGATAAGGCCCCGTCAGTTTGTCGACGGTGGGCTTCAGTATTTCGCACAAAACCCTCGAAAAGACCTTTTATGCGATGTTAAGAAGGCTTATCCCACGATAGTTGGCGCAGACTGTGGGGTCGCCCGTTTTTTGGATTGGGCAGAGTACACTTGGGTTCCAATCGACGGGCATGCTTACATCGAACCATATTTTGGAAACAAGCTGATGCATGCACCTTGTCAGCTTTTCAGCGCCATATTTGAATAGCTCTGCCTGTAGGCCGTCAGCTCTTACCGCTTTGTAGTTTTTTAAGCGGACAATCGCTATATGAACTTCGTAAGTCGCCGTATCATCTCATAGAATTTTCGAGTTTTACACTTTTCGGCCAGCTACTCAAGCTTTTCGCACTCGCGCATTTCGGCCTCTTTTTTTTTTGTCTGCAAATGCTTATTGCTTCTCTCTTCAGCTCTCGATATCTTTCCCACCCTCCATGTGTTATGATCGATCGTAGGGTTGCGCAGTAGGCAGTCTGTTTTCTCTAAACAGCAGTTCGACATTCCTCATTGTACCAGCTTTTTTTCTGGCACTGCCGAAAACCAAATGTTTCGGTAGCGGCGGTACGTAGGGATTTTGAGATACCGTTCCACGGTTCCCTTATACCAAGGTGCTGATGAGTGCTCTCTGAAAGCAGGAGTGTAAGCCGACTAGAAAATCGCTCTGCAGTCTGTTGTGATTATAGCTTTACGACGTAGAAACTTCCTTGAGTTTGCTGGCGGATGTTTTTTGATACACAACAAGATAGTAATCCGAGTCGATGTTAGGTCCTCGGAGTGTGCGCACGTCAAGGGCACTGAAGACATGTCTTCCGTCTATCACAACATAATCAATCTGGTTTTGCATTTTTCGATCAGGGGACAGCCAATTAGCTTGGTGTATTTTCTAGAGCTGGAATCTAGTCCCACAGACTAGAAGTCGATTAGTCTCAATCCATTTGGGAATGCTCTGTCGTGGAGGCTAAATTTTCCTATCGTTGTACCGAAGATGCCTTCTTTGCCCACCCTGGCGTTGAAGTCGCCAAGCAGCATGGCAGGGCCAGCATTCATAAGTATGTCCAAGGCGCTCATAAAACCCATCTTTGGTCACATCGTCCTTCTCTTCCAACGTGCGAGGGCGCAAATCAACTATGATGCGGATTTTGATGATACGTTCATCCACTGGACCACGAATCCACGAATCCGACACCAAATTTGTACTCCTTTATATGGCCGCTGTAGTAAATTTCACAAGGTTCCACCTTCTTTCGGCCTTGTCCCGTCCATCGTATTTCTCGGACGGCGGTGATGTCAAACTTTAATTTTATGATTACACCAACCAGCTGGGCAGCGGCACCTTCCCAATTAAGGGACCGGACATTCCACGTGCATGCCCTCAAATCGTAATCCTTAAAACATTTGCGGGGGTCATCAACAAAGAGGGTCGCTCATCCGGGGCATAATATAATTTTTCATAGGAGTTTATTTTTCATGTGGTGAGTGCCAGGACCTACGCACAACGGCATGGGATTCCAACAGATGTTTGTTGGCTACCCAGGGGATACTTGGTCTAAGACCGGAAGTCGTGAGTTGCTTGAACCATATGCAAAAGAATCGTTTCTGGCCACTCCCAGGTGAATGGCAGTCAAAGACTTTCCTCACTTACATATGGTCCCATTAATTAATTATTATAAGTATAGATAATTGTGTCTACAGTATGTCATTTAATTTTTTGCAAAATGAAAAAATCACAAACATCTTTTCAAATTACATTTTATAAATGAAAGTATTTTATTTTCCTTTTTTTATTAATTGGTATTGTTAATCTAAGTATTGCTATTAATTTGGGAACAGGTTGGAATTAAAGCACTCTGGAGGTAGACCACCGAAACTTTCTAGACATGATCATTCAAAAATTTTAAAGCAGATCAGTGATAATCCTCAAACCACCCTGAGAAAATTGGCGTTTGATATTAAAAATGATTGCCATAAAACAGTAAGTCACGAGACAATCCGAAAAGTCTTAAATATACACAAATACTCCTCGAAAATAGCTAGAAGAAAACCATTGTTGTAGGTAGTTGTTATTGAGAAGCGGCTCAACTTTTTTATTACCAATGTTCACAGGAATGTTTATATTAGAATATAAAATATCGCGAACGCCGATTTGCCTCAGTGTGGTTCCACAGGAAAAAAATAAAAAGTAACGAATTATTAATATTTTATTAAAATAAGACCGAATAAGAGGTTGATTACCAATACATACCTATATGGAGGTATATATGAAGGTATATATCCGTATATAAGTGATCTTTTAAAACATTTAATAATAGATTTAAGTGTATAGGTATATATTATATGTACCTATATATTTATATATACTGAGAACAAAAATTATGAAAATTACCTCTGTATAAAATTCGCTGGTTTGTTGGTTCGCTAAGTTCGCAAATTGCACTAGTGTGTCCGCTGTGGGAGCCGTCTATAGATAAGTTAGCCCGTTTTTAGAGGAACATTAGCTTAAATACCATCAAAATATGATAATAAGCATCACCAGTAGTTTTCCGACTTCAGTGTTAGTAAACAACAAGTGGATGGAAAACTTCCAGCGGCTCTCAAATATTTAAAGCTTTTGGCTTTGACATTGCCGCCGGCCTTGCAATATTAAAGGAATGCAACAAATGGAATAAAACGTAAAATAGTTCAATGCATGTGATAAATTTTAATATTGAATACTATGGTTTGTACAATCGTTGTTGTCATCATCCATGCTTATGCACCTTATAGCAGGGACTTTGGTTTTGGTTCTTTTCAATTACCTAATCAGTGCAAAGTAGCACCTTTTGGCAAGAGTGATTCTGCGTTCGATTACAAGGCTGACATTATGTCAATGCTGGTCTCTTAATAGACCAAATTATTTACGATCTTGAAGTTATGACTGTCAACACTGACGTGGGAGCCAAGTCGTGAATCCAATGACTTTTTGTTTGATGACAGGAGATATTTCGTCTTATCCTCGCTTACTACCAGACCCATTAGCTTCTTTATCAAGTCTGGAGAAAGCAGAACTAACGGCGCCGTTGCCAAGGCCTATGGAATCAATAAGTACACGATAAAGAGGCATCCTGTCTGAAACATCGAAGAGGTCCTTCCCAACTGTGACTGCTCTTCTGATCTTCTGCAACGTAAGTTTTCACAGAAGTACAGATTTTGCGGGAAAACCACATTCAGACATAATGGCGTAGAGACAGCTAATTTTTCTGGTGTCGAAGGTTGCTTCGATGATAAGGTGATGTGTGTCGGTTCTTTTTTCACGGGCCTTTTCCAATATGTGGCGTATGGTGAATACCTGGTCAATGGTTAATTTACCAGATCTAATGCCACACTGATGAGGTCCAATCAGGTTGTTAACGGTGGGCTTTAGTCTTTCACACAATATGCTCGGGATGACCTTGTATGCGATATTAAGTAGGCTATCCCATGGTTATTGGATTGGGCAGAGCACATTTAGATTCCAATCGTAGGACACGCTTTCATCCGACAATATTTTGCAAAGAAGCATGCTCCTGGTCAGATCTTTAGCTCCATTTTTAAATACCTCTACCGACGGGACGTCACCTCCAGCTGCATTGTTGATTTTTGAATGGACAATAGCTCTTGCAATCTCGTTAGATTCGGTTAACTGACCTCTTTTCCGTCTTAATCGATTGATGTTTTCTTCAAATCACTTTGGGACCAACAACCAAAAGTTATAAAAAATTTATTGAAATATAAAATTAAGTTAAATTTTCTAATTGCGGTCGCCCCTTGGTAGGGAGTGGAACCCCTCAGAGTCTATTTATGAAAGCGGCGACTTAGTATAAACTGTAGGTCACTCCATTTATGGGAAAAACTTCAAATTTAAGGAGGGGCTTGGCGGAAAATTGCTTAAACGGTTATGAAGCGCCAATTATTATAAGCGTTCCTTGCATCAATTCGGTATACTGGTAGTCACCTGCCTGTCTTGAAACTTTTCGTAAGTCACCGTATCTTTTAGTAGAGCTTTCGAGCATTAACCATTGCCAGCCGGCTTCTCAAGTTATTCATACTCACGCAGATGCGTCTTGCTTCCCTCTTCAGCTCTCGGTATTCATCCTACCCGCATGGCTGCGGGGTAGGCAGTTTGACATTCCTCATCGTACTAGCTCTTTTTTTGCAATGTGTGCAAGTCGAATAGCGAAAAGAAAATCGTTCGGCTGTTTGATCTGATTGCAGCTTTTCGACCTCGCACTTTCCTTGTGCATGTTTAAAGAGATGGGTGCGTATTCTTGCTGCGAGTCGACTTCCGTTTCGATATTGGGTAAACGCCAAGAACACTGTAAACTTGTCTTCCGTCTATCATAACGTAGATGCCAAACCATAAGCAAAACTACATGGGATTCGCTGTCTCACTTTAGATCGCCTCCAAACTGATGTTTATTGTACGTATAATGATCCGAGTCAATGTTAGGACATAGAAAAGTAAGCTCGTCTAGAATACTGAAGACATATCTTCCGTTCATCACAACATGATCGATTCGATGATTCATTATTCTCCTTAACTAGAATTATAAACGTTTTACTGTGTAAGTGGTACATGTTCTTTATGAAGAGATTTCCCGTCACATTCCTCAGGGCTGTGTTCTCACAAGCTTGTAGCATCTTCAACTGCGTCTCGTAAACTCCGTAATTCAGATCAGCCTAGCGCAGTGTGTCTCTCAGTACCATGGGATTACTAACTTTCGGAATTTTTAAGTCCATTACCTTATTCGCCCAGCTGGAAAATAGGGTAGCCGAAAATTTCGCTGGTTGTTTGGAGCTGTGCAGAAGAGAGAAATGTCGGCGAGATAACAGTTCACTTCCGAACAAAGATTATCAATATCCTGTCCAGAGGGTTATATAAAACCGTCAACGGCATATGAATGTCAAATGATTTTGATAAATTCAGTGCTACCAGACCTGTGCGCGCACAGAGTAGGTTCTGATTGAGATGATGAGTCCATCGTCTAGGTGAGCCTGGGTTCTTACGGCGTAACTTTACGGCTCAGGTTGTGATTGAAGGACGAGAGCAGAAAAACCTTAATTTTTTCGCTCCTGGAGAAAAATCCTCCTATATGATTCCCGCTTGTTGACATGTTTCCCCGGCCTTGCTGAGGTATTCTGATCTCGCTTGTCCCACATGTTTTAATATCAGTATGCTTATTACGTCGGCCTGAGGCTTTTGCCGTCCCAAAGAACCCCTGAACTTCTTCTTGAGAAAACAAGCACCGCGCATACGTTTAGCTGCTTGCGCAGACGATGGGCCACTTACCGATTAATATTATCAACCAACGGGTGCAATATGAAAAACCAGCTAAAATATAATAGCTCGCGCACTTCTTCGAACGTCTGATATGCCAATTACCCTATACTGATCATGAAAGCGTAGACCTGCTTCGTAAATAAAACACATGTTATTATTTGAAGATACAAATTTATTGGTTTAATGTTAAAATATACATACATACATATATCTTTATTCATTTAGTATTTACATATATTTTCATTCTAAACATTCGCCGCTGTTGAGAATTGTTACCAATAGGAGTTTTTATGCAATAGTATACAATAGACTTAGTATCCATGTTGCAACATTAATGTTTGCATAACACGCTTTATTTGAGTACTAGTATTTAATTGTGACTTAATTCCCAGAGTGAATGCTACGGATAGAATTTCTACAGTATGCTCTTGTAGAAGAAGGGTCATTTCTACTAAATTATCCACAGCTGTAGTGGCAACGGATGAATTGTCATCTCTAAGACATTGAATATATGCATTAAGGGTACATCGATTAATATCAGAACACCCCGGGTTATGCTTCAAATGACGAACTAAGAGTATAAACGCATTGGAGCGTATTTGAGCACTAGGAGAAAATATTAGCTCTAACAACCTATCAAATATTTCATTTAAATACGAAAATCGCTTCGAAGTAAGGCTTTCTATTTCTTGCAAAGGACCGAGAATTGTTTCCTCGGAACTTGAGTTCTTTACAATTCTTATAAGATCTGTAAAATGTTGGGAGTGTGTAATGGGTTTAGTAAATGGTGTAGAAATCGAAAACTGAACTCCCTTATTATTAGTTTCAAATTGATTTGTAGAACTTACTTCGACTATCTCAGCTTCGTTTGAAATGAAGCATTGATTGTTTCCCGGCTCTTCTATTTCAAAGTCTTGTTTGTTTTCATCATCGTTTAACTGTTTTGTTGATATAGCTCTCTGCTGCAAAAGGGCTATGCCTTGTACAAGTTGCTGCAATGACGTTATAGTATTAAACTTTACAGACAGTTCCATAAGAATTCCAACATATTTTTCAATAAATAAGAGAGCACAAGTTGGATTAGAATTAATATAAGCTTGTAATAGTTCAACAAACTTCAACAATATATGATATGACTCTTTTATAAAGCTGTGATGTTTAAAAAAAACGAAATAGCATTCTAACGCTGCTTGGAATTCAGTTTTATAACAGTCATCAAATATCATAGGCTGTAACAGCTGAAGTGCTCGTAGTATTTGTATGAACCGATGAAAGTGATATTCCTCGCGCAATAAACGAACACCTAAATGAGCTCTACCCTGAATTAGTGAAGAAAGGACTCCCAATTGTCGTAAAAACAAAATAGGATGCGATGCGGCAAATTTTCGTATTAACATCTCAATATCACTGGAAAGGGTTTCGAAATCCTTTCTAAGAAAGAGATTTCCCAGACAAGTTATTAAATAATTAGAGACCTTGTCAGCTTTACAACCTTTTAATGTGGAAATTTTTGTTACTTGTTCTTTTATATTATGAGTCATGAAACGAATTGAAGGATGTAAGAGATACATTTGGTGAATTATTTTCAATTTTAACAAATGAGGGCATGATTTATTAAATACATTTTCAATAAATTGTGAAATGTTTTTGTTTTTCTTACTTGTTACTCTAAAAAGAAGATTAATACGTGAACAAATTTTATAGTCATAAGTCTCTAAAACCGAGGGCGAGTTTGAGTCTGTTTCGTTCAAAATAAAACCAACTAAAGCACTCATCTCGTATTCGCTAAGTGTAAACATTATTTCTGGAAAACTTGTTTTCGAAATACTTTTATCTCGGCCTTGCCAAAGTTTTGGGTTATTAATAAGCGCTTCCACAAAATTAAGGGCTGTACTACAATCAATATTCGGTTGCGATTCTTGCAATAACAATTTTAACGTATATAATAGGGCATCCCAACTCGTTTGATGACATATTAGAGAAAGTATATGAAAACGAAAATCTGTGCAATTTTTTGTGAATAATCGACCTATCTGGTTCTGTTTACGGATATGGATGAATTCAGGATCTATCTCACATAGCTGATCGACAATTAATCCATAATGACATAGCGCTTGCACTGATATCATTTCTGGTAATTTATCTTTTTTTAAGCTGAACAAATTCTGTGTGTCATACAAAAGATCATCACTTTTTATAACTTCAGAATTAGAAGATGATTTAAGAATACGATTTTTCCTTCGTTTAATTATATTTAAAATACTTTTTTTAAACATTTTATCTTTAGAATTTATCCCTGTCTTCCATTCACATTCACGAAATTTATCTTCTATGGAATTGGTATCACTAGAAGTTATACACTTTTGCTTTAGAAGAATTCGAAAAAGTGTACACATGTGATTTACCTGCGACGTTGTTTGTTGAGATATATAATGCTTGTATTTATCGATGACACGCATTAAACATAACCATCCCATTTTTAAATGACTTATTATTAATTCGCTTCTATTTTTCGAAAGACAAAGATCTCTATTTAGCAAATGATGAAGTAATCTTCGGAATTGACTAGTGCTTTTATAAGAGTATGGGGAAGCTTTTAATAAATTTCCAATTACATCTTCGATTTCTTTAGTTCCTTGATAAAAAGATGTGGTACGCGTTATCAGCTGCATGTTTTTTTCAAAATTCAGCAGGTTTAAGACCGTATTAATTTGTTTTGGATGGTCTGGAACTGTTTGCGAATGGGAATATAATTCAAGGGCTTTTACGGTAAAATGTCCATTCTTTGCTCCACGTTTCTGTTGAATTTCAATAAGTTGAGCTAAATACGCTTTGTTGAGAATTGCATTTTTAACTAACTCGAGCTCCTCATTTACAGCATGGTCCAGTAAGGCTAATAACTTTGACATAGAAACTACAGGCGTTCCGAAATTTTGAACAAATAATACAATTTGGTCTGGAGAAAGATCTAGTAAGGCAGCTTCAATCAAACGATCCACAGAAGATCTAATCATTTTCAGTTTTAGCCAATCCGGTAGTAATTGAACCGCCTCATGCGGCATATTAGGTAAGAAACCGACCGGGGGCCTTCGACCTAGTGGAAACCAGTAGTCAAGAATTGGCAAAGATTCAGGCATTTGGCTACTAGACTGCGTTAACAAAATTATAAATGCGTGAATTATATTTAAATGAAGAGGCAATTGAGCTCCATCTTCAAATTGTACCATAAGTAAGTCAGGATATTCAGTCCATTCATAAGGCTCTTGGTGCTCTCTTAGTCGTATTATATAATTGTTGAACATGACGAAAAGGCATTTTAATGTTTGAAACTGATATTCAGCTAAGCTGCTGCTGTTATACTCCAGCAATAAATCCCCAGTCGCTGGTATAATATGCTGAAACATTGTACTCCGCTCCACAATCAGTTGCGCCATATCAATAACGTGGTCTAGCATGTCGATTACTCCATCGTTAATAGTATGGGCAGCTACAAATTGGATATAGGACATTATTAATAAAGGTGAGTTCTCTACTTGACAAGCAGATCTCAATTGAGGTATTATGAAAGATAATGCTTCTTGAAAACATGGTATCTGGGGAATAGATTTCAGTAACCAATCATTTTGATTAGTATTATCTTTAAAAATAATTTTTAATCCATTTATTGCAGCATTGCGCGATTGTTGTACTGTTGATGACAATCTTCTAAATATGTAATCTAAAACTTCACATACTGTTGTTTTATGAGCTTGTTCTTCCATTATAAGGTTTCTCAAGTAACAAACCAATTCTCCGTCCCGGGAATGTTCATCATTAACAAAATTTGCATTAAATAACATAAATTCGCACAAACATTGCACTGGCAGATGACTAAAATCACCTTCGCTACTTTGTACAAGATCTGAAAGCCAAGGCATAGACTTGGTTGTACCTTGTCTTTGGATTATATCAAGTAGTAAATCAGGTCTACGACATCGACATAAAAGGTATCCCAACTTTAATGTCTTATTTAATCCTTTAACTTGCTCTAAAACGTTATTTGGAATTCTGCGAGCTTGTCCCATTGGGTCCATTAGCATTAACTGCGATATTAAAATTGCGTTCTCTTCAGTTATTATGGCTTGTGAAGTTTGTGCTGCCAAATATGATTCCAGCTGAAGAATTTGTTCCCTCTCCAAGGAAACCATCTGAAAAAGGTATTACAAAAAATATAAATATATATTCGATAATATACTAAATATTATATATACTACTAAAAGGTATCTAATAGCTTTTAAACTATGTTTAGCTTGTTTATCAAAAATAATTAAATTGCGTTTAGATATAAATAAATAAATATGTATATATGGACTGCTATATTATATATAATGTTCACTAAGTAATCTTGTTTTTTAGTGTAATTTTAACACGTTTTTTTATATGCGGTTGCGTTAGACTCTAATCTAATTTTAGACCTCTCAAGTTCTTAATCGACGATTTCTATCGCCCAACATCTTTATTTTATCCATTTCGGCATCAGGAGACCTTCCAGGACGTTGCACATCCCCAAGATCCAAGTTTCCGGAACGAAATTAGGAAACCACTTATGACATTAGCGTTGGATTCAACATATTTTTCGCCTTGCTAGTAAAACAGTAAAACATGTCGAAGTTGCTGTTTTCGTTATACCATCATCACACACACACATTTCCAAATAACATGATTTACAAACACATTACATTACAAACATGATTTACTATATTAGAAGCTCAGATATATAACGGTAAAGCGGTTAAGTAGGATGTTGATTGCGAAGAAAATTTCATAATTTCAGCTATTGTCATCAAACGAAATTACTTAGTGAACGACGCAATATATACACTTGGTATTGGTCTTGCAGAACCGCCTGTTTTTCAGACGAGCAATGGACCTAGTTTAGAAAATTCGTCAAGCTACATGCCTTCCTCTTCTTGTTGCAGCAAATATACTCAACCGTTTCTATGCATTGAAAAATCACGTCAACGAGCACAGGGAACACCCATAAACAACTCAGTATAAAGTAACTGTAAGGCTGGAGCAGGATTGCGGCATTTATTCTCCCATGCTGTCATTAAATATAAGCATAAGACTACCAGTCCAGTGCAGCGTTTTCCAGGCGGAACGCTTTGCCATCATGGACGCTGCCGTGTTGCTGCTCAAATCTACGGCAGAAATTCAATCGGTTACAATATACTCCGACAGGGAAGCTGTCATCGGAATCTTTTTAATGTAACGGTACCACGTCAAAAGTGGCCATAAAATGCAGAAACAATCTTAACAAACTCTAAATTCAATTTAGTACCGCCGTGGTATGGGTACCTAGTTACAGTCACATCCCGGGCAATTGCATGGCAGACGAACTTGCCCACAGTAAAACATGCACATGATGCTGGTGTACCTCTGTTAACTACTGGCATAATAATTGGATATTGTTTAATAGGTCTTCATCGGAAAATAATGGGTTAAAACTCTAATGATTTTTGTCGCAGCTGTAGGGCTGAAGAAGAGGACCCTGGCATCTGCGCGACACAAACTCTTCGGAAAACATTTCTTCTCTATCAGCTTTTTAAGCTGACCGACAAGGCTAATAGTGGAAAATTTTATGAAGAGATACAAGACATCTTACTAACTGAACAAGAGTTCTGGCGGAATGGATACAGATAATTCATATCAAATAAATCTTTGAACCCATATCAAAAAGTAATTATTTGAACAAAATCGAACAACTCTTAAGTGTAGGTTGCTGTTCCCATTTATAGTCAACAACATGTACGACGTTTACCACTCTGTAACGATATTTACGAAAATTGCACAAGTATTAAGATCAATAATGATATCAGCCATAAAATCTGTCTCAGAATTACTCTAACTGGTATTTACAACTTTGATTAAAAAGCTAAGAAGTAAAAACCTCTCTCGTGAAATAAAGACTAACTAAGCTGCTTTGTGGTGAAGAAGCGTAAAGGATGAATCCGGCATCAAAAGAGAGACAGTTTATGTTTACGGCAAAAGAAGCAGTGGCAAAGTAATGTTGTGGAGATGATGACAACACACCAGCTTTAAAAGTTTTCGATGCAGTACTAGCAGCAGGGGAAGATTTCCTTAGCGTATAGCGCGTTAATATAAAAAAGTCGACTTTAATGAATGAAATGAATTTCAAATACAGCTTAACGTAATTAGAATAAAGTATTGAAACTATTGGCATAACTTTAAACTAATTTTCGGACTTACCTGTAGCTCCTCTTTACCAGCATTCTGTTCGATGAATTGATTAGTAATACACATTTCGATCAAAGATTTCATAGTAGGATAGTGTTTCCAGCAAAACGCCCCGAAGGTAGATGGATTATGAGCGGAAATCATTAACATTATAATCCATGCTTTCCAATATAAAACAGTTATAGCAAATTTCGGTGGAATGTATCCCAGTGGCAAAGTTATATTCTCCGGATAATGATATTCCACCATATTAAATAGAAAGTCAATTACATCATATTTGTTAGCTTGTATTGCAGGGTAATTAAGAGTTCTCATGGACGCAGCCCTTTTAATGACCATCATAATCACATCTATTGTCTCAGGTACTGTTAGAGGTATATCTTTAGTAATACCTATAAGAATAATTCTCAAAAGAGTATCTTCAAGAACAGGAGTTTCTGAGACAATCCTTAGTATTGTTCCCCGTTCCGGCTCTGAGGGCCATTGATCACAACGTGAATATTGCTCAGGGCTATCCAGGAGCAAAATTTTGTGTAGTGCCTGACTGTACTCCAAACATTGAATCTTGAAGAGATTAGGAACCGTTTCGTACATCCAAGACACTGCTTCTAACTGGATTTGGGACATTTGTGTATAAAAATTCAGTAATAATGGATTATTCTTCATCTCCTTGTTAGACCTAAGTAAAATGCAGGCTTCACGAATTTGTGGGGAAACTGACAACAGCATACAAAGACAAATTATATCAACCATAGAATGGAAAATTCTATCTTTGAATTCCGATCGCTCAACTTGTTCCATTAAATCACTTTTATCATTCATAAATGATTTACAAAATTTTAAAATGTTCATATCATAGCGTAGCACGCGCAGCAGCTCCCGTAAAAAAACTCTCAATGTACGCAAGCAGTCTTCACGTTGCAATAAAAATTCTTTATATATTTCAGCCAGATTATGAGAGGATTGGTCCGGTGACACCTGAAACATCGTAGCTGGAAAAATAGTTTTATAAATAAATTATTACATTTAAAATTTTGAGCATCTTAACAAAATTTGCGGTCATAAAACATACATACATATGTAATTTTATATATTGAAGTATTTAGATAGTCATAGATTCCCATAGTTAAAATAATAACAGGCTCAATATCTAATCCTCTTAATTTTGTCCTATGATTCTAAAACCTTGTGCCTTGACAGACTTTCTTATTCAGAAACCAATTTAGTCGACTCTCGACTAATTAAATAATATTTGATATTTGAATTAGGTTATTTCTAAGAAGGAACTGATCAATTTTTGTTATGTAGCTGAACTTCTCCACGCTTGGCAAACTCCTGCTCATTTGTCCCTCACCAAAACAATAAAACAGAAAACTCGTTTTTGTAAACAATTAATATTTTTTAATATTAACACAAATCATATAAAAAAAATTTCCGATTTCGTATTTTATTTTTCCCATTTTTATTGAAATTCGAAAAACAACGTTGAGCTAAGGCAAAAGTTTATAGATTAGAAGGTTACGACATCAACAAGGTCAAGAGTTTATTGACGAAGTTGGTTCGATTTTGTGTGAAAAACATTAAAAGTTTACAAAATTCAAGCGAGAATGCCTCTGTAAATTCCTAGAGTTATGGTCGTATCATAACCGACTTTTTGGCCGGCAATTCAAGAACACGACTTGGACAATATGCGGTCTCAACAACTAAAAATCATGCCACATATCATGAGGAAAAATGGCTTCATTGCGAGACTAATTTCTGGGCTGCGTAATCTCTGATGTCGATTTGCCAACGAGATCATACGAATTGACGTTGGACTTTGTTTTGGGAACTACGCGAAACTCCAGGTGTGTTATGATAATATATGTAAATATCACGCCTCGGCCACTGTTAATATTCAATAAATATCGAGACAAGGCAGTGTCAACATCGTTTTCTACTCTTCTTTAAATTGACTCTGCGGAGGAGAGGTTTAGGAGTTTTACCACGGTGAGGCAAGCCTGTCGTAAAAGGCGACTAAAATCCAAACGTTTCCGCGAAATCCGGGACATTATATCGGAACGACCTCGATTTTTATCCTACATTCACTTCTCTAAAACTACTGTGTGAAATATTTTTGCGGCTACAACAACAACACACATTATTTCGTCATGAGCTCAAAACATTCGTGGTGATTAACATAACTTTGATAAATTAGAAAACATTTTTTTTTTGAAAAATACAAGTATTTTTAACTTAAAACTAGAAAACATAAAAAACGCGGGTTCAGAAATTTTCATTTATTAGCGCTGTTTATGCCCAATAAACACATCTCTGCATTGTCCTCAAAGCGAATAAGAGGGCAATGCAAAAACACATAAAGCAGTGAATCCATTTTTTCTTTTTATTCGACACGCCGGCGATACTTTTGTCGATCCAATTTGACATTTTGGTCCTTCGAACCGGATTTTTCAAGTGCTCTTTAAAGAGAGTTAAAGACTCATCTGCCCAACCAACTCAATAAAAATAAATTTATATACCCAAACCACATAAATTGTGTATCAGCGTTGGACTTGTTTGCAGCCGTTCTTTGTGCACCAACGAATACTCTACTATACATCATAAAACTACCCACAGTTAATATTATTTGGTGGAAAAAATTGTAAGTACCACGACCCGTACTATTTATATTAGGGCAAATCAGAATAACTAATAATAAATTAATTAACAAATATAGCTCATTTTATTTTAAAATCAAATTAATTGCAACTCTGCGTTCGTGATAATTTGCTTTGCACTTTGCATAAACATTTATCATCATATACACCCATTTTACATACAATATTTGCAGGGAGCCAAAGAACTTCAAATAAATTACTTTTCTCACGGCAAATATATGTACATACACTTATACTTATATATCAGTCCTAAACCCAAAGTATATTCTGTTAGTGCAGTCAGTTAGGTGCATTGAAAACAAAATACCCAGGAGGAAAAATTTTCGAATACCTAATAGAAACAATTTCTGAAAACCCATTAAGGATTTTTTTCGTGCCCCATTTTGGAATCTCTTTCAATAATTTAACACTAAATATTAAACAAAATTATTATTTAAATAGTTAAACCTTCATATCCAAGAGGGCCAAAAATACCCATAATTAAAAAGTCGACTTTTTGCAAAATTTATCTAGCTTTTTGGTATTTTTCACAAAGAGCCCTACCCAATTTTGTCGTTTCAAGGTAACTTTTCATTTAATTAAACAAACAAACAAACGAACATAATAGCAGATTTTAAGTTCTCGACTTATACGAATACATAGAAGAACATAATTCAGCACTCGGGAAATGAAAAGAGTTGAACTCAATGCGATTTACGATAGGACAGGCAAATCGTACGATGCGTTGCGCAGAACCCCGCAAAACCCTGCTGATCCCATTTATTTAACGGAAGTCAAAGAAAATTTTAAAAAAGGCCATCAGTTAAGTTAGAGATGTTTATGATCCGTCAATCAATGCATTGATTACCTCAAGACTCCATCAGCCACTAGAAAGGAACGAACTTCAAAGACATACCCATCGTTGAACGTAGGATCATTTGTTCATCTATCCTTTATTGACACGGATATTTTTTATGCCGATTTCGCAACATGGCCTTCGGTTAGAGACATGTTTACAGCTATATATATTTTATCCCAAAACAGACAGAAAGCGGAAATGCCATCAAAAATCTCCAAAGAACGGTTAACAATTGTCTAACTAGTCGGAATAATCTTGGCTTGAACGCAAGTCCAATTCGAAGACACGTTTACCCTTTACGACAGTAGACCCCACAGAAGAGGAAAGGACGTGAGGTTCAACACGTTTCATTCAAATGTTTTAGAAAACCCGACCCCCAGCTCATTAAGCTTTAATAAAACAACAACTGCAAGAATCACTACGTTATCGAAAACACAAGCATTCCAAATTTGCTAAGCATCAAGAGCCTCAAGCCCTGCTCTTGGCTCAAACCAAGGCAGTACCTCTCAAACCCAAATACAAATCCACAAGCATACACATACACAACCCTTTTAGAGTCCACTCAAGAAATACCCAAAGAACCACTCATGTCTTGAAGGAAACAGATTTTGTTAGGAACTGCCGTAGTTTATATAAACCATATAGGGCAATTATATCCAGCACGGGCAGTCATAGACTCTGGGTCAGATGCCACAATTATTTCAGAGAAACTCCAAAGAAAACTAGGCATGCCTACGAAAAATGCAGTTGCACAAGTAACAGGGCTGAACAACTCAATTTCAGCAACAACCAAAAAAAAAAAAAAAAACATGCGAATTAACCCTATGCTCACCTACGAGGGAAGAATTCAAGATAACGACGCAAGCATTTATCTTAAGAATATAACAGAAAACTTAGTCACTCACTCGACCCTATATTTGAATTGGAAAACTCGGATTTAGTTTAGCTGATCACGATTTCAATAAGCCCATACCCGTCGACGGTCTATTCGGAAATGACTTGTACCCACAAATAATACTCGGTGGTGTACAAAGATATATGTTCAATATGTTCGCCCAAGAAACTGAATTTGGTTGGATTTTGTCAGAACCCATTCCAGAAAAGCCTAATGGACCTTCAGTAGGTTCATATTAAAATCAAATGACCCCAGATAAATTACTCACACAATTTTTGTAAGTGGAAAAAGTTCCGAGAAAGCCTCTGTCCTCACCTTCAGATAAATTGTGTGAAGAAAATTATCAAAAAACCAGACACACAAACTCATCGGAAGGTTATGTGGTCACCCTACTCTTTAAAAAACCAGAAAACATAGGACTGGGTAACTCAAGAAACAGCGCTAGCTCAGTTTTTAAGAAATGAGAAATTCCTCTCAAGAAAATCGGACGTAAAAATGAAATACGACAAAGTTATTAATGAGTATTTGGAACTTGGATACATGAAAAAGGTGGTAAACAATCCCCCATCTAACAGAAACTGTCTGAGCGACGTACTACATACTGGACCTATTCTGCAGGCAGACTTGGTAATCTTAGTAATAAAATGATATTTCGATTCGTTTTCAACACAAGTATACAAAAAATGTATACCGCAAATTCTTGTAGAACCAAACACACTCAATTTCAGAGAATACTCTAATGCAGCAAATATGGCTTGACAAATCAGAATGGATGAAAGTCTTAAACCCCTTACCCTACATAGAAAATATTTGTTAAGGAATATGATGTGCTTAACAAAATAGAAATTCCACTTCCACTTCTTAACTTCAGCGGTTATTTTACGGATTCTCTGATGCGTCTGAAAAAGCGTACGCAGCAAATCTTCAGATTAGATATTCTACAAACGGGAATACTTGGACCACTCTTTTAGCATCGAAAACCCGAGTAGTTCCAATTAAAAGTATATAAATACTCAGCCGTTCTTCTTGTAAACTTAGTGTACACGACCTTATCCCAATTAAATTTGACACACTATCGCACCCATCTCTGGATGGACTCAACTATTGTTATCCCTTGGCTATGCAAACCCCCATGTTTATTGACGACTTTCGTTTCTCATAGAGCCGCTACGATAGTTAAAAACGTCGGAAGCGATACTTGGAATCATGTGGAAAGCTGTGATAACACGGCGGACCTCGCAAGTCGTGGATACGCTCTTCTAGAAATAGCGAGCAACAACCTGTGGTGACATGGACCTAAATGGCTACCACTCAATTCGAAACAATGGCCAATAACTCAAAAACCGCCCGCTACAATCCTGGAGCTTAAACCAATTAAAATCTTTACCGCTACAGCAATCTCATAATATCTAATTAGATTTTGTTCAAACGCGTCACCAAACAGAAGAAGAGAAAAAAATACATCCGACTCTCATGACAGCCGGTTCTACACACCGGAATTGACCGGGTTTTATCCGTTCAAGGGCTGTCACCCTTTCAGCGACCTAACCCCGTTTAATTTAACAGGTAACATTAGTCTAAGTTCGCCGACGGAGCAACACC